TTTTTTTGGCAAGGTTTGGGTATCAAAACCAATGCCAGCTAAATTTGTCTTTTTCTCATTTCCCCTCGATTTACTGCCCGGAAGTTTGTCTCCCTGACGTGACCAAAAATTAGCTGTGTAAATCTCTTGGGGGGAAGACATCCGGTAGATGCAACGTACATTGCTGAAGCTCCTCAACACTAATTTCTCTAATTTTGTTGATGACTGGAACGTCACCCTTCACAAGACCTTTGGCGAATTCAATGCTGCTGCCAATAATTCCCTTTCTTGATATGCAGTAGGTGACGGTGTGGGCCTTAACTTTGATGATTCCAATTCTAGGATCCTCTGGGCCGCCATCGTGAACACCGTCACCGAGATCTCCAAGCCAAGCCTTAAGAGTCTCGGAATAATACTTTTGAACCGTGGCGCGATCAGTAACAATGGAGGCTTCGCCAGAAATAGAGGCCCATTCTCCGGTAGGGTTCAAGAATGAGATGTTAGTTTTGGGATCTAAATGCAGTTCGTCGGTCTTGCCAGACTCTGTGTTGGTGTGGAAAATGAGATCAACGCCACCACCCTCCTACAATGATTTGTTAGCATTTTATGTGGAAAGGCTCGATGGTTTGGTCTTGCTGCTGAGAGTTCCTTACAGTGTCAGCCAAAGCCATACAACGAGAAACAAGGAAGCCGTGGCTATTCGTGGTCATCATGCCGAACTTGCAGTGCTTGGCAAAAGCGACTAAATCCTCCACCTTTTCCTTCAAGGGGACTTCTTCAATGTTTTTGGCCTTGTAGGGATCGGCAGGCTGACCGCCAGTCTGCGTGTTGCTGAAGGTGCTTTGTGACATTTTGTTTATAGCTACTAGTGTGTATTGTAAGTGTATGACTCTTCTCACGCATTCCTATACCGATTTATTGCTCGGACGAACGCTTATGCCCAACGACGCGCTTCGTCTTGAGCTTCGGAAAAAAAAAAAATAATGGTAGTTGGGGAACCGTACATGTGAGGAAATTAGACTGATGTCTTGTAAATGTATGTGGCCTGGTGATTGTTTTGAGTTTCAAAGGAAAGTTGCAACTGGGAGACGGCTGTTATATGAGAAGGGGATCGGGTTGGCGAAGCTACGCTATCACGTAGGACATGGGGAAATTTACAGCTTGACGTAGTTATTTGTATGACGTGTGTGTTGCATCGCTTAGGCAAATCTGGAATGGATGGGAGAGAAACCGTGATGGCCATGGGGATCGAAGAATTACAATAATGGGCCCGCGACAAGATCTACCAAACCCCTACGGACTTCTGAATCGGAAGCATGGCGGGCTCATCAAAGTGAGAGCGGGGGACCTACTGAGTACGCACCTCGCTTTCCCCGCATTCGATGATCGAGCATCGCCAGGGAGGAAAGGGGCAGGGGAATCACCGTAGCTACGTAGTCATACCTTTGTTATACTTGTGTTGAGGCGTGTCGAGCTTTTCCTGAAAAGTCTAGCTACAAGAATAATACCACTTATTCCAAGCTCATCGAACGTCAGTAGATTGATTGCTTGATAGAGAATTATGATAGATGGAAAGAAGAAAAAGAATAAATAAATAAAAGAAAATAAAAATAAAAATAAAAAGTAGAGTAACACAAAGCCTTATTGGAACAGTGTTGCGTCCAAAAGAGAAACCCTTCAGCATCTCGTGTCAGGTCGAGGGGGTATTTTGGTTATGATGGCCATTCTTGATCGATTACGTATGCCCAGATTTCATTATATACCTACCGTAGTAGCATATCGGCCGCGAAGACTCCGTTACCTCCGACAATTTTTGAACAATGACCATTGCCATACACAACGTGCAAGGAACCAATTCTTGTCGCCGATACTTGAAATTCAAATGAACAATGAGTGGTGGGTAATATTCAAAATAGCAGTTGCCAATTTATATCTTATAATTGAGAATAATCTGACCGATGTGGATTACCTGTAGGACGAGGGGCCGCTCGCGGACGAGGAGCATACTATAAAGCGCTCTACGGCGGTCGTGGCAGAGGCCGTGATGGCTCCAATCAGCACTCAGTCGAACCTCCACAGCCTCGCCATGCTCCAGGGACCTTGTCAGATTGGAATACCCTTTCTCAATTGCTTCGGAATGTTGATGGGCAGCAATATGGTACGTAAAAGTCGAATCATCATCGCTTTGCCTAATTTGATTAATGTCCTCTTGTAGTACACAATGGACAATTGTTTGCACAAACGCAGCCCCTGACAGTTGGAATGCAGGACAATATAAACGGCTAGGTACTCGATCCAGCCTACCTTCGAAAATTCTCTTCTTCTGATATACAGCTAATTCCGTGCAGCTGGAACATATCGCCATGCCTCCCCAAATTTTACTCTCTGCGTTGATCATGTCCAATCTGATGCGTACGCTCCACCTTCCAGAGTGCGAGCAATCATGTCATTGGTTAGCAAGATTCATAGCAGACACGTTCTTGCGCATAGCTGAAATGTTGTATAGTCTGATACAGGATTCCCCGTCGATGTTTTCGACAATGAAATACGTCAAATTGCTTTGGGAGATTATGTAACGAGGACAGCTGCAGAATTCATACGTTCTCGGCACATGGACCAAGCAGTACCATCTGGTGCTGGCGCAGGAGGCTGGGCAGGCCCAAAAGGTGGTGCTTTCAACATCAATGCGCCAGGCCAAGAAGTCTTGCCGCGAACGAGCTGCTTGGTGAAAATGCAAAAAGCTCAGCGACCCCCACCTGAAGGAACTATCGAATTGCGCTTTACCGTTGCACTTCCAGCTCGTGGTCGGACCATTTTGGGCCATGAAGCGCATCGCATACTTGCTGTTAATCTTCCTGAACTGATCAGACAGACTTTGCAATGGGGCAAGCAAAGTCAACAGAAGCTTCTTCAGCACGTTCGCTCAGTCGAAGACCAGGAAGACATGCGATGTCAGCTTGTACAAAAGGGCTTGGTCACATTTATTGCAAATGGATCCATTTTGCCTCGTGCTAGCGGAGCCTCGTCCATGCCCATGCGCTCGTCCTCCGTGGTGCCATTTCAGTCTCCGCCTGACATGGAGGTAGAACTCCATCGGCCGAATGGTGGACTTATCAGGGGTATGGGAATTCAGCATGGAATCACGGTCCTCTCAGGCGGAGGATTTCATGGCAAATCGACCCTTCTTGAAGCAATAGAGCTAGGCATCTACAACCACATTCCTGGCGATGGCCGGGAAGGAGTGGTCACAGACCCAACTGCAATCAAGATTCGAGCAGAGGATGGTAGAAGCGTATCCGGCGTTGACATTAGTCCATTCATTTCTGGACTTCCTGGGAAGAAGAATACAAGCTGTTTCAGTAGCGAGGTAATCCATCCCCATGTTTCCTCCACGATTTCTCCTTACGCTTGGTCGCTCACACAGATATTAGGATGCAAGCGGCTCTACATCTATGGCGTCGAATATCCAAGAGGCGCTGGAGCTAGGAAGTAAAACCCTGTTGATAGACGAAGACTCTAGCGCAACGAACTTGCTCGTTCGAGATCAGCGGATGCAAGCGCTTGTTCGAAATGAACCCATCACCCCCCTCGTGTCAAAAGTGCGTGCCTTGTACAATCAACATGGCGTAAGCACCCTCATAGTTATCGGTGGCTGTGGCGACTGTATGTCCGAATACCATCTCAAGCAATTAATATCAGAAGTGTCACTGATACATGTGATGAACAGATCTCTCAGTTGCAGATGTCGTCCTTGGGCTCTCCTCTTACAAAGTCGAAAATCTCACGGCCCGGGCAGCTGAAGTTGCTGCGAATTATCCGGCAAATATACCTCAGCATCAAAAGTATGGGACGATCTCATCCCGCAAAGTAACCTTGCCGTCAAGTATTGCAATTGGTCGGCCACCTTCGTCCAAAGGCCGCAGCTTCATCATGCTCCCGTCAGATGCTCCGGCGGGCCCAAAGAACCCTGCAGCTGAGGATCCTGGCATAGACATTGCTGCGCTAAGTCAGCTGGTTGAGCCTGGCCAAGCGGCTCTGGCGGCGCAAGTGGTCCGTTGGGCAGCTCGACGTCCCGATAGCACGGCGGTCGCTACGTCACTTTTTGATACACTCGACGAAATGGAGCGATTAGTGAGAAAAGGTGGTCTGGATGCATTACACAGTGAGGGCTGGATGGTTGGTGATATGGTATGGGCAAGGAGGTTTGAACTGGGTGCGGTCATCGCTCGGATTCGCGGTCTCACTGTGCATTGAATGCAGCCGTAGCCTTGGCCGAATTGGCATCTTGGAAGTGACTTTGATTTGGGTTCCTATATCTTCAACCAACCTTGCAATGCAATGAGTCCTTTACGGTCTCACATATTATAGATATCGTACGCGTACAGCTCTGCGAAAATCTAAGCCTGTCCTCAGCATCAATGTAACAACATCGAGTAAATAAAGCTCTCGGATTTTTTTGAGATCCTAACCGTACAATAAATAGATTTACTCCTCCCATAAAACCACTCAATCTGGAGACTACTGTAATTCAGAGCGGACCTGATGTCTGTTCTAAGTCCTTGTCCGATCCAGTCAAGTACAACCTGTACATTGGTTCTCGAAAAGCAGCAGTAAATATATTGATCAAATCACCAGTCTCATAGACTTTCAACAATGAAAACCCATTTGTTATATTTGACGAACCCCTTGGTATTATGCGGACGCCAAACACCATTCAAAATGAAAAATCCCAAAGCAGCGTCGAGCCATCTCCCTGATTGAAGTATTGCCCCTTCCTGCTAGACAAAGCTTTTCAATGCAGATACTACATGCCATATGTCCATCCGCCATCGCGATAGAGTCTTTCTCTAGCAGCAAGGTCTTTTCTTATGTCATCCTCGGTGAGCCGATCATTACCACTCCAGTTTGCACTGCTTGTACGATTGCGGAATCGATGATGCCGAGCTTCATTTCTAAAGATATCTTCCATGTGCAATGGAGCAATGGGCCCAAAGACCTCTTCGGGATTCACCAATTGCTGTTGGACGAGCAGGTCGCGAAGGTTAGGACTCTGTGCCCAATTTGGAGGGATAAAATCGGAGTCATCGTCTTCGCTATCACTAGCGATGTCAGGCAATGAAATATTGTCGCCATTAGAAGGCTGCGGGCTTGCTGCAGCTGTTTTTGTCAGTAATGGCTGGCGACCCGGAGTCTTCTGCGACGACGGAATTTGGGAGGGAACATTGCTGCCCGCAGTCGCAGACGGCCGCATATATTGCGAAGCCTTGGCCGACTTCAAGGACAGGGATCCGGATGCAGCTGGCGTATTGATCGCCTTGAACGACGATGAACCCGTAGCCAAATTCTGGTCGACAGGTCTGGGAATGGCTTTGATTGATGGTGCGGCGGCAGCTCCATGTGTCTGCGAAGTGGCGTACTTCGAGACTGTCGGTTCCGAGTTGCCCTGGGACTGGGAAAGTTCTTGAGGCGGTGAGGTTGAAGTGCTCTCCGCTTGCATGAAGGGCGGGCCTGAGGGGACCTGAGAGATAGTGGCCATCCTCGATTTTGAGAGAGAGGCTCCGGTCACGTTGCTGCTGAAGCTTGAAGATTGACTGCTTCCCTGTCCGTTTTGAGATTCCTAGTCTACATCAGCCGCAAGAAACGCATCAGTTCGTCTTGATCTAATACCTTTTTGACGCTTGATTGCCAGTTGGCGGTCAGTCGCGGTCGGGTTTCTGTCTCCTCAGCTTCCTGATCATTAGTCCGCCTGCGCTTTGCTTCGGTCTGCTGGTAGCTTGGCCCGGATTTGCTGGCAGTTCCACGCTGTATATTATCCTCCGCCGTCTCTTGCTGCAGAGTGCGTTTCGGCGGCTTTGCCGGATTGATATGGGGGACTGTGTTCGTCAGGCGATTGTAATCCTGTAGAAGGTTCATCCGCGTAAGAGTACGCGCTGTAGGCAAGTCACTGCGGTGAGATGATTGTGCTGGCTGCGGCTTCTCTTTCTGCACAGATTGCGTCTGCTCGGCCCATGGAACGGTCAGTAAACCAAATGTCAACAGCGAAAATCCATTATATGGGCTTACCAAACCACTTCCCATGCGCGTTAGCGTGGGAATCGCTGGAGGACGTTGGGACTCTCCTTTCTTTGACTCCAAGGCCTTCTTTGCTTCTTCTAAGCGCCTCTTCTCTACGGCTGCCCTTGGGACTACCTTCTTGGCATTTTCAATGGCAGCTTGACGCTCTTCAGCACGTAAGCCGTTAATTTGCTCTTTCCTTTTCCGCTCAGCCTCATGCGCTTCAGCCACTTTCCTTCTAGTCTCAATTATGAGCTCCCGTTGTCTCTCAGCTTCCCAGTCCCACTGTCGTTGCTTTTCAAGTTCGACTTCGCGTCTTTTCTGAGACTCTGCTTCTGCCTCGCGCTGCTTCTCCGCTTCTAGTTCCCTCTGTTTGTCCTCCTCTAATCTTCGCAGTCTCTCCGTCTCCCTTTTCTCCGCTTCTTGCCGACGTTGCTCAGCTTCCTGTTCGCGTTGCTTCTGGGCCTCGATGTCTCGCAGCTTTTCTGCATGAAGCTCACGTTGCCTTTCTGCTTCAATCTCCCGTTGCCGTTCTTCCTCGAGTCGACGCTGGCTCTCGACTTCAATCTGACGTTGCTTTTCCGCTTCCTTTCGCTCGGCAGCTCGTTGGCGCTCCATTTCTCGCTCCTCCGCCTCGCACTGTTTCTGCGCAGCTTCTTTTTCTTGAGCTCTCCTTCGCTCTAGCTCTTTTATTTCTTCAACTTCACGCAGTTTCGCTAGTTCTTCCCTTTGCGCTGCCTCTCTGCGCTCTGCTTCCTCTTTTGCTAGGGTTGCACGCTGCCTTTCTGCCTCCTCCTTTTGGGCTGTTCTCTTGCGCTCAATTTCCAGCTTCTGCTCAGCCTTTTGCAGAGCCTCTAATTCCTCCTATTTTTCATTAGCTTGAGATTTGTAAAATCGTCTGCGAACGGCTTACTTGTTCCTTCTTTTTTGCGGCTACAATAAGAGCCTTAGGCTTGCTTGAAGTACTCGCGCCTGCTGTTGTTTGTCCTGCCGCTGGTGCCGACTTCTCAATTTCTTTGCTCGAGAGAGTAGCTCGTGACGTGCTCATTCTTTGGCTGTCTCCCAGCATCCGTATTTTCTCAAATAGACGCTGCGTGGACGTTTTCCGGTTCGTCTTAGGCATTTCAATGTCTTTGTCAGGGATGGGAGATGCTACTTTGTTTGTGAACACCTCTGATAAAGCCTGTCCCAGTGTCAGCAGAGTTCTTTCCCTCTACATTTCAAGGCTTGACTGACCATGCGATTGTCCGCGGGGCGCCGGGCCGTTCGAGGGGTCTTTCCACGGAGTTTTCCAGGGGTTTTGAACAACTCTGGAACATTTCTGAAAATTGTCAACGTTATATAGTCCACGTGCCGGAGTGATGAGAGGGGCACGAACAGCTGCTCCTGGGTGAACAGTTCATCCATATGCTCATTGAGCCACGTCAGTTCATTCTGCATTGCGAAAGTAAATTCTTCAACCTCTTGGTCAACAAAGGCTTGAGCTTGATCCCTTTCTTGGATGATCCATTGCGCTGACCCGATCGGGCGTTGTGTTGCTAGACGAAGGGCCGCCATGGTTGTTCAAGCAAAACAAACAAGTACGCGAGAACCAGTGGCTGCAAATGGGAATGAAACGAATGATAGTGGGCGCAATCCAGTTGATCCTACTCTTCCATTCCCTATAATACCATCAATTGATGGTCTGCAGACGTTAGCCGGAGCGGGTGGAGGCGTGTGATGGACGCCGCTGCCTATGTCGAGGACGTTGTTTGATGGGTAGTCGGTCGTTGGTTGATGTTGACAACGTCGGTTTGTTATGATCCATCCGACGCTAACCCTTATTTGGATAGCAGGGAAGCTCCACAACAGTACTCCGTACTCCGTACAAGCTCCTTCGCGTGCTGCTCGACAGGAACAAAATCACACCATCGAGCCATCAAAAGTGATCCGCATGAGAGTAATAAAGGAAAAGAAGTCCATGATAATCGGTATTAGATATGACCCACGATGTATTCTGGCTATACCTTTGTATTTACGCATACGTACTGCGGCGGTGCATTACTCCGATATAGTCCGTGTTGGGTTCTTCGCTCCGCGCTTCTACTCCATACAGCTTTTCAAATACAGCAGGATAGAGAGATACTATTTTCGTACAATGGATCAGTATTCTCATGAGATAGCCAAAAGTGTTTCACATTTTCTCACTTTCCGTCTAGTGAATTTTATCTTTTTTTTTATTTTATTCTATTTCCCCCCCCAGTAGGAGCACTGATATATTGAGATTCGGATTTGATCCCCATAGGTAATTACTTTGGGGACAATGCAGTCCTATAACTATGCAATCTGCGGCAATTCATAATCGGTTTGACCTATGATCTACCTTAATTATTGATGTCACCTCGACGTTGCGTGTCTTTCACAATAGACGAGTTGACATAACAGTAATGATAACTTTAGGTAGGTAGGTATCTTCCTCTGCGGAGTGGCTAATAGAGCCTGAAGCTGATCTGTAAATGATAGATCAACCCCAATCCATCTTGGATGAAGATATTACACGCCTACCTGGTTCAACCGCCTGAGTGTAACAGGGCAAGCCACTAGAACTTGACGAATAATTTACACGACGGTCACAATTACGTCTATATATGAAAATCAAACAACTTCAAGCCTTTTGAAACTCTGAGCGGGAATGTCACAATGAAGAACGACTCAAGTCGCTAGAAACAGGGCTACCTTAAACTGAGGCTCCTTTATCTACAATCACATGCAAGTTAACTTTAAAGGTTATGAAAACAGCATCCACTTGTATTGCACCAATGTGGCTCAGCACCTTCCACTCTGTACAATGTGAGATCCAAATACTGTGATCTATTACAATCGCATCGTCTTTTCTACTCATACACGGCAGCTGGATTTTGTGGGGAAGGGCCTGTTTAAAAGGGTTGCCCTAGTGGTCCATCGGAAATTCCCTTATCGCATGCTTACCTTCATTAGTGCCGAAGCAAGCGGGTTCAGGCTACAGTGAAGTTTGGGCGAAAGGAATTGTTGCGTGGTGCTGGTCTCCCTGGGGGCTGCGTCTCAGTAACGTCATACGAAGTTGGCGCGTCAAGTGTTTCCATAAATTTTCCCTGATGATGAGTGAAATAATTTGGAGGTCTAGCAAGCGAACCCTTCTCTTCGTTCGTTCCTTCCCAATTCACCCACATCAGCCACTCAAGTCGAGCTCTTTTAGTGGACCAATCATTAAGCTAGGAAATTCAGTAACCCTGCTCTGGCTATCGCTGCCTTTCCTTTTCACCTCTTTCTTGCTGAGGCTGCCGTTTCTGGTCGTTGCTCGTCACTTTTGCCGGGATCTTGTTCTAACTCACCTCTCGTCACTTCCTCGGTTTCTCTTCCCTTCGAATACAAACATCATTCCCACCTCCCACTCCACCTTCAACATTCGCGTCAACCTTTAACCAAATTGTCCTTTGCACGCATTTACGCCTTAGTGTCTTCTTTTTTCACGAATCCACCTTCGAGCCGCTGCATCACTACTGCATTATTTCGCCCAGAATCAGTCGCACGTGCCCACTTACCTCCTTAACAACTCGCCCAGAATGACGGACGCCGCGCCCCAGATCCCGACTCCCCATTTCGAATCCCCTTCTGACGTGACTTATCCCTCGACTGAACCTGTCCCAAAGGACACGCCTTCTAGCAATGCCGCTGCTGTCAAGGAATCCGTCGTTGGAAGTAAGGTGAGCTGCCATGAAGCTTTCCGATACTTCTCCAACCCCATACTGACAAGCTAAACAGTACACTGAATACTCTCAAGACTCCCTCAAACACTGACCTGATCCGACAGGCACTCAGTCAGCCCTCAACAGTGTTCAGGAACACCCATACACCAAAGGTGCTTTGGATGCAATCAATGACGGTAGGGTAAGTCGTGACGCCATCTCTCCGTCTGTCTTCTGAAGCAAGCTGACATGGACCACTACAGAACAATCGCTCGCACACTCTTCCACCTACAAATCTGACAAGTGTTACAGCCCCAGTCACTCAGAGTGTAAAGAATGAGTCTGCAAAGACTTCGGCTGATCTCCGCAACTTGGCCAATTCTCGGACTCGGCCCGATGAGCCGGCTGTTACCGGTCAACCACTGACGCGTAGGACATACCTGATTCTGGGAATGCTGCGGTTACTGACTGATACTGTTAGACTATCACTCTATGTTCTACAGCTTGCTGAGCGTAAGGAGCGAACCATTTCATTTGAATGCCAAAGATGGACTGACAAACTCCAGTGGGAGCATCCGCGCGCGACCGCCATTTCTTTTGCCTCTACTGTTCTGCTGATCTTCGCTGCTCGTTACTTCCCCCTCGGACGTTACGTGTTCAAGATCCTCTATGTTACTCTTGGAGGTACGTTCCCCTCCTTTGCTGTGAATTTCTCGGCTGACAAGTTAAAGCTGCTGCCACTGCTGAGATCGTCGGCAAGCTTGTCTTCACGAATGGCCTTGCGTCGCAACTGCGTCCGAGAAAATATTACACCATTTCGCAGGAATCTTTTGACCGCGTTGTTGAGGATGTGCAGGAGCTCGTCAACTTTTTCGTCATTGAATTCCAGAGGATCTTGTTTGCTGAGAACGTCAAGTACACGGTCACTGTATGTATCATCGAACTCGGTATTACTTTGTCTCGTTAATTTGCTGAGCAAACACGCGCAGGCTTTCTTCTCCTCCCTCGTCTCCTATTGGCTGATCAAAGTCCTTCCTTTTTGGGGACTTGCCCTCCTTGCCACGACTATCTTCTACCTCGGCCCCTTGGTCTATATCACGAACCGCGAGCTCATTGATGGTCACATTCAACATGCCTCGGACATCGTTGGTGCTCAGGCTACTCAATTTCGAGACCTTGCTGGCCATCATACCGCTCAAGCTACCGAGACACTCAGAGGTTATGCCGGAGAGTACACCAACAAGGCTCAGCAATACATTGGCTCTGCTCGAGGCAAATCTGCTTCTCCTGTCGCTTCACCAGCTCCCAAGGCTGCTGCTGCGAGCACCCCAGTCAAGTCCGAGCCTGTCTCTTACACGTCTTCTGACTTCCCCGCGGCTCCGAACCAAGAGCCCACCCCGATCGCCGCTGAGTTTACCTCTCCTACGAAGAGCGAGGCCGAGCCAGTGCCCGCAATCTAAGCAGCTGGTGACTAGATAGGAGTACGGCTAAGGCTGCTAGTGGAATAAAAGGCCGGACTGCTCCATTCTTCAGTCCTTCAAGTGGTCGGATACTTGAAATTGGAGATTGCATAGGAGGGATAAATGAAGAGTGGCTTTGATGATGATGATGGTGGTGGTGTTTGGAGCGCAGAAATATTCTACATGATTGTAGAGTGTTGATGCGGATTGCAAGTCAGCCTCAAGCTGCCCTTGCTAAATATGTATTTCTCTTTCCTTTTCTTCCCTCGTTGCCTTTGGGAACCCATTTCTCTTTGTTCTATGTCTATTGCAGCCAACTCAATCGCCCCTCAACTTGTGGATCGCGTTGTTGTTGTCGTTGTTGCTGACAGTTGATTTGATGGTATGGATGATCGAGGAAACGAACGCGTCTTCCAAGGTGATTAATGCAAAATACGTTCTTATATTTGTGATTTCATTGTATTGGCCAGCATGATATTGAGTACATCATGGCAAACTTTCTAATGCAAGGCATTCACTGAGGGTGAGAATGAGTCAATTTGAGCATATGATGCAAGCAAGTCACGGTTCTATAATATTTGATTGATCAATTTTTGATCTTTATTACAATTCGCCCTAAATTTGAATCAATGGCTGAGCATTTGTCAAAGCTGGTTGTGCATCCTTATTACACATCATCCTTGTTACGCATCTCGATTCATTTTTGAGCCGGAGCAAACTTCTTCTTCATATTCGTGAGCACGAGGTCCGGATTCCAGATGTAGTTCACGGCTTCCTGCGCCACGGTGGCTTTGGACCACTTGCCGAAATTTGGCAGGTTGTTGAGGGATGTCTTGAGAGCGGCGGGCAAGATATCATCATTGCTGAATGCAAGAACGCGTAAGAGCAACGAGCCAGTCTGGACCTGTAATCCCAAGAAAATTAGCCACTAGAGTTCTGCGAGGCTCGGAGGTCATGCCGGGAATGGCATGAGAACAAATTGATTTGCCGAATCGTATGAACGTAATTGAACCAACACATACTTCTGCCAGCGTGAGCTTGTCGCTGCCACCAAAGAATGGCGCCGCATCTTTCAGCAAGGGCTCAATCTCTTTTGAGACTGCCTCAAAGATACGCGCTGAAATCTGCTCTTTCTCGGCTGCGTCACTTGTGCGCACGGCCGAAAAAGCCAAGGACCAGACTTTGCTCACGAACGTGTCGACAAAGAAGGATACCCGGGCGCGGAACAGCGCTGCCGTCGGCGAGCTAAAGCTCGGAGGGAGCAGCTGTGGAGGGCGAATGTCGGCAAGGAACTGCGCAACGATTCCAGACTCGGTGATGACTTCATCCTGGATGACCCCGTTGCTGAACTTGATGGCCGGCACCAGGCCACGCTGTTGTATGTGTAGTTAGTATATACGAGACGTATATGAACCGTTTGCTTTCTCGTGAAAACCCATGAGAACGAAGGGGGCTTGATAGGCAAAGCATGATCTAACGGTGCTAAATTGACAGACGCAGAGGATCCGTTTTTGATAGTAGGTATGGTTTGTCGATATAGATGTATCGGGGAAAGTGAATGGGGCAAAAAAAAAAGACGTGAAATCGATGATCGCAGGAAAATGAACAACAAAATGCATGCAATTCAAACAATTGGGAATGTAGACCAACGAATTCAAGGGCAAGAAACCATAATAATCACAATTCAGGTCAAAAGAGGCAAGAGAATGCATCGTATACGCACCGGATTGATTTCCTTGAGATACCATTCTTCTCGAGGCTTAGACAAGTCGATAATGACTTCCTCATACGGAAGCTCCAGCGCCTTGAGAGCTATGTGCGCTCTGTGAGCCCACGGACATAAGTGATTCGTATAGAGAATAATCTTTGGCGCAACGGCCGTAGCGGTTGCGGTTGTTTTGGCGGCGGACATGTTCGTTTTTATGTTCAAGCTCTTGGTCAAGTGCAACGGTTGTTTTACTGCAAAAGATTACTCCGCTTCCTCCTATAATCTTGCTTGTATTTGCTGGAGACGGCGACTGTGCCTCTTAAAAGAGCCGTATTAGCTGTGGAGTCGGATTCAAAAAGGTGTAAACTGTCTTGTGCTTTTGCTCTGGCCAAAAGCTGTGCCACTCAACAGAACGATGACAGCTTTAGTCCCTAACTGGCCTAACCAGCGGTCGGTATGACGTGATAACCAAACTACTAACTGGCTGCGCTGATCAATTCGGCAGAGTGTCGATTGATAAACTCTTATCACCAAGTACGACTCGCATCAAACACAATGGTATCAACTTCACTCACGTTTTGCAACAGACACACTGCTCAACTGCTCAAGTATATGGATGATTTGCTCTGCTGAAAGGAAAGGAGGCTAGGGAATGTAGTATCTTCTCCGGGGTGTCTATACCGCCAACAGATTGCGACCAATTCTAATGATATTGCTTTCGAAGTACGAGTCTTTAAAGTGGGGCATGCTGAGTGGAGAAGTTCGGGGATTCTAAGATAATAACACGGGGTTCTAAAGAAACGTAATGCTTCACAATACGGAGTATTCTCGTTCCAACCCATGATGGTGCTGCTGCAATCTGTCAATGTGCTAAAACCCCCGCCGGTAAGGGTTCGCTTGAAGCAAATGGTTGGCTTATCCTATGAGGTGGTAGTATGCCAGATGAAGGCGTAATGAGAAGAACCATGTGACTCGAAAATATGTAAGCAGAGCTCTTGAAGCTGACAAATGTAGACACTTCATTAATAATAACGATAACAATTCCAAAAATGAGTGGATACTGAAAGAAGTCGACAAAGTGCGTGATGAGATGGAGGTGATGGCGTTATCCTGATATTATACACACGTCGGGATACTCAAAAGCCGGCCTTCCGATCATCAGGGGTTGATGGCATCGAGATGGCGACACTGCACGCAGGGCATACATTTGATGTTTGGCGGAGTAAACCCACAGAGCCCCATGAGCGGCGCGTGCACGGTTTCATATTACGCTTTCAATCTTGCCTGGATGCAGATAATCCACCATCTGGTTATTTTGAACCGGGTTAGTGCGAATGCAGCATCACTTTGATGCTTGAGAATACCCAAAGGGCTCAATCCAAGCTTGCTTTGTATGAACCTTAAGCGATTCTGCTGGTCCCAAGGGCGAATCCATTTGCATCCTCGGTCCTCTTCGCCCGACAGCAACGGGACATCAACCCTTCAAGTTACCAACTGTTGACAGTTTTCGAGATCCATGTGCATTGTTTTGCTCTTCCATCAATTGGTTGGTCCATTCTTCAATACCAGTCACGGCGCTATCTACCAGCGGCCTAATTGGGATGCTGACCATTTCATATTTATTCGAGTTTGATTGCTCATCATTAACATACTGTTTCGTGTGTCTTTATAAGTTCCTGTTCCAACAACTCTATTTAAAAATGCAATCGTCTTATCATAACGTGCCACTCCCTCTCGATATGATCGTGCATCCATTCAATCATCAAAAGAAAACGAGCATTGAGGTTGGTAACTGTCAGCGAGACATCATCAAAGAAAAAGAAAAAAGGAAAGCGGTAAAAGAGCGAAAAGCACCTGAGCATCATGATTTCGTTAAAAGGAAGAGCGACGGCGTTTGAAGCTTTCACTGGTAAGCGCTGCGTCAGCCATGTACATCTGCATCAACATATACGCTGCTTTGGTTTCGCCTGAATAAGTGAGCGTGGACGGCCTCCTTTCTAGTTGCGGTGCAGATCGAGGAGCCGAAAGATGACCATCGGAGAGACTGTCCATATCACGGTCCTCCTCTTGCACGGAACAATCTATTTTCGATTCGCTGCTCGCATCGCTGCTTACACTAGGGCTTGATGGCGACCACACGGACGCTGAGCAGATGGATGCCTGGCTTTTCAAGGAAGATGCTGCTGTATTGAGCACTGTCCAGCCGAACTTCGTTGAAAGATCTTTCGGCGATTTCAAATGTCGGTCGCTTTGATCGGTATCGGTTCCGTAGCCACTTTCAACGTCAATGGCCTTGTTCAACCTGGGTCGAAGTACCCTCGGCGCCCAGCGTGAAGTGTCATCAACTGAAACGATAAATCTTGTCTCGTCTTCTTTTCTAGCTTGTCTAGCTCGCAGCCGAGCCTCACCCAAGACCCGAAGTTCTTCGGCGTCCGCGGTACATTTGCGAATGATGGATTTGTCAATAACCATTCGACCAAAGATTGGGTCGTCTGGATGAATGCAAAGCGCAAGAAAATCGGGCCCAAAAACGGGCGTCAACGCATGGCGGATATTATAGCAAAAGGTCGCTGCAATTGCCTTAGCTGCGTCATATGGCATCCAGTAGCCTGCAATCCGCGAATGGTAAGTATCAAATCAGTGCATATTGAACTATTGGAGATATAGGCAAGCTTACCTTGAGCCGCAAGAGCGCCACCTGTGATACTGTGGCAGAGATCACGAAGACCAGGATTACTATTGAGCATCTTTGCTGGAGTCGTCTGTCCAACAAACCTTTTTAGCCCAGGCCGTGCACTGCACACCTTCTTCGACCTTTTGCGTCTCTCGCACAGCACGTACCTTTGAGTATTTGCAGCATTTAAAGAATGGTGTAATCCTTACTAGTCCGACGTTGTAGTCCCACATGACTGTGTATTCTCGATCGTCGCCAGGGACTCGGAACGTATACTGAAATACTGCCGTCGCGGTCAGTTAAGCTCTCCTCTTTTTTACAACCTCGAAGGGCCATCTTGGCGCGCATACCCTCGAAGCTCTCCCGGCCAGTCTTCTCTAGGAATGACTTCTTCTCGCTATTGTACGGGATATGCCTGCAATATTCCGCAATGTGCCCCATGGGAAACATCTGAAATCTTCTATGGTGGCTTGCCGATTCTTCGTCAACTGCTTCGAAAGGTGGATATCGAACTTGTCCTCTGGCCTTTCCCTTGGCAAAGATAGCAGCGTCTTTGGCTACCTTTTGCTTCTTTACGGGCCGAGAGGGCATTGCTGATATTTCTCCGTTGTATTTCTCCAAGAAATCACCCGATCGGTGATAGCATCCTTGCTCCGAGGTAATCGGATTGAGGAGCGACGCAACGGATAACATATTCAAAGCCCTCGTAAAGTGTCCAGTTGAAAATGTCTTCAAGGTAGTACTGAACTCGTCCTACCGATGAGCTTTCAGAGCCCAGATAGCGATTGGCTTGAGTTGATGGTAAGGTGCGAGAGCTGTGGTTGATATTCTCAATTGACAAACAACCCTCTACGACGGCGAGGGCTTTAGGTGCTATTTAGGCTTCTAAGGGCTTGAAAGGAATGCAAAGACGCTTGGTCCGGCTGGTGCACCACTGCTCTTACCAGCTCGGTTTTTCTCACGTCTTTGAGGTCCTCGCCGCCCCTTCTTGCTGCATAGGGTGGGATGGCGGTCAGACACTGGCCTAGCCTTTGTTAGATCCCAGTCTCAGATGTCTGCGCCGGTCAGATCTGCGTCTGTTTGCCAGTCTCCGGGTGCTTAGCCCAAAGATTCCATGTCGAGGGAAGACAAATAAAGGCTACGACTGTAGCGGTATTCCCGCCTTTTCTGACCGATGGCGTCGAAGACCCTAGAGCTGTCCGATCCCTCGAATGCCACGTCCTCAGTAGGTTGGAGCTTCTCGTGCGAGATGGATGCTCCACACTCGGGAAGACGAAGTGCGGCATCCCCGCATGGCACCATTTGTTCAAATTTACTTTCTTAATTCACTGGATTTCTGGTGGGGAAATCCAAAGTTCGAATAGCATACGTAAGATCCGGCAGGGGACCATTCTACTGATTGTCATCCATACGACAATTCACCGGCTCCTCAAACATCGAGGCGACTTGTTACGCACAACCAAAAGATTGGAGACCGCCCCTAATCTGCAGGTATCCTGGGTTGAGATGAGAAAGTCAATTACCCTGTCTTCTGCAGAAAATTCTCCCCCTCCGCCGTGGCTTTCATCCTACCCAGCTCAGCATCAGCAAGTGTCACAAGGAGGTCTGGGGGTCAGGGAGTTTCATAACGAAATGGCCTCTTTCTCCAGACAGTGACCGTTGCAGTTTGTGGCCAGAAAATCTCTTTCTGTGGGACAGAGCCAGACCTTTGGCGAGCGTGTGCAGGGCATCAGCATCAACCGCGTGAGGATGAACGAAACCGCCACGGGTAGATGCATGAAGTTGCGGGAAATATGCTATGGTAGGGATATCACCAACAAAGGACAGTTGGGAGACCTGACGAATGGACGAAATGGATTTGACGAGGATTAGAAAAGAAAAAGGTTTCGGAAATGCTGGCCATGTCCAACCTTCAGAGCAAACCTCGAGGCATGCGTACGCCAATGTCCAAAATGTCATGTTGTGTCTTGACTGGACTGACCAGTGGAACTATGCCATATCTCTTCCCGATGGTGCTTCACCGCTTGAGTCGGTCTGCCGACATTGGTAAGTGAATGCTGTCTTACCGTTTATGGTGGAACTTTCTACGCAGCTTTCCGTATGATGCCCACTGGGCCCCTATCATTCCATTCTCCGTTGTCGCTCCCTCAGAGATCCGGACAAAGAACCTTCTAGCGCGCTTCGAGAAGAATTTCAAACATGGAGTATATCCTCGCTCGTTTCTAAATGGTAGCATGGCTTGTCTGAAATACCTTGTCCATCCTATCCTGGGTACCTCAAAGCTCTGATTGTGGCTTATACGATTGCCCGTACCTGCGTCAAGCCGCGAAGCTTCGATGCAAGCTGGAAAGCGAGTGTGTAGCGAATTTAAATGAGCAAAAGCCAAACTTCTAGAGCACTGTTTAGGTAAACGGCAAAAAGGGTATAATTGTAAAACGAAAGCTTCTCCACTCCGTTTCCTTTATAGCTTAAATAGTACCGAGGCATTAGATTTTACTCCATGGACAACAGGGCAAAGGTTTGTGAGCAGTCAGCTGCATGCTGAAACTGTCAGCCCGAAGCGACAGGAAGCAATAGGACATGGGACGCGTTAGAGATCACAATACATATCACAAAATGATTCAATGATATCAATTAACCCGTGACGAAGCTTAAGCATACAATGACCGACTCCTTCCCGCCGCGGATGAAACAAGATGTATCAACTGTCGTACAGAACCACGGGAATGCTACAAACGTCAAATGCGAAGAAACAAAAGAGCAAAAAGCTACGCTTGAAACATTTAGAAAGGGAATGCAGAAAGCGTGCAGTGAGCAAGCGCAAGGTCCCATTCCTGTAGAGTTCAAGGCAAATTTAATGATAATGCACTAGTCATCTTCCGAGACGTTTTCCGAAAATACGTCGTCACCGTCGCTTTGGCCCTCTCCGCTGCTTATGTCGTCTACATAAATTGGCTTTTTGACGGCCGCTGCGGCACGACGAGGAGGACGTGAAGAAGTAGCGGGCGGGGCAGGCGCCGACTTCTTTGTACCGACTTCCTCGTCAGAAGATCCTAATAAGTCATTTGCAAGAGCATCATCGTCGTCGTCATCGTCGGAATCTTCCTTCCGCTTGGTGTTCGTCCTGCTTTGCTTTTTGGCATAAGCTTTGGCCGCTGGAGATAACGGTGTCTTTTTGGCCGGGGCAGCTGGTTTTTTGGGGACGGTTTCCTTTTTAGTTGCAGCCTTTTTAACCTGCGCAGCCGCAGGCTTGGTCTTGATTGGTGCTTTCGACTGCGCCTTCGTTTTAGCCAATGATGCTTTGGACACGACGGGGGGAGATGATGCATCCGCTTCCTCATCAGATGAAAGCTCTGATTTTGACGCAGGCCTCTTTGGCGACGGCTGAGGAACGAGCTTTGAATAATCGGTCTCGTCGTCGGACAATTCAAAAATTTGCCTTGGTGCTGGCTTGGAACTCGACTTGCTTAAGCCCGTATTCGTCCCGTTCGTGCGCGGCTTCGAAGCTGCAAACAGGTCCTTGTTGGATGAAGCTTCCGATCCGGTCAAGCCTCCGCCAATGCCCTTCACCATTTTGCTAACATCACCAAGGAGATCGCCATCATTATCGGAATCAATATCGCTGAGAATATTGTAGTTGACAGGTTTCTTCGCTGCCGTTCGCGATCGAGGAGCAGGTGCCGATCCGGACCTTTCACCCATGTCTGACAATAAATCATCATCGTCGTCGCCGTCATCGATCACGGGTTTCTTTGACTTTGCAGCACGCGCTGTTTTCGCTGGAACAGGCTCCTCACTTGGAATAGAATCTGCGGCTCCGTCGACATTCGTAGCTGGTTTCGCCCGGCTGTTAGACCCAGTAGCAGACACCTTCTCTGGAGCCGACTTCTTGAAAAAGTCCAGGAGATCGCCCGCTTTGGGTTGTGCACGCTTAGCTACCGGTTTCTTTGTCTTAGAAGCGACAAAGTCAGAATCGCTTCCACCATCGTCCTTCACTTTGCGCCTCCGTGCAGGTGCTTTGCCGCCAAGAGCCACCTTTGCAGATACACGCCGACTCATGCCTGCAAGTTTTTTCATACGCTGAGCTTCATCCTCTAGCTCGAAACGCCACTCTGCAATGAATTCATCGAGCTCCTTTCTCCAGATGTCTTCCTTGCTTAGTTTGATGAGTGTGTCAATCTCAATCTCCTTATCCCCTATCTGCCGCAGCAACTTTTCAACCCGTTCATGCGTGAGAGACCAGATGGCCATCTGGAAGCACGTTAGGCTATGGAAATTATTCATTTAAACAAAAGATAAAACTTACGCCAAGCAAGTAATCATATGATCCAGCAGGAACCCCGGCCGGCTCCTCGTCGTCATCCTCCCCTTCTAAGAAAGGTTCCATCGGTGCATCTTTGGTAGCTTCAACTGTCTTAAGGAAAGGCTTGAAGTTCCTTCGCTGCAATTCAACAATGAGATCCTTCTTTTTCTTCCGGTAAATGACAAGTTCGCCATCAATAATCATCTTCACAAACCGAGCTTGGTTACTCAGTTTGTCGAGCTCTCTTTGCATCTCTGAGAGTTGATAGGCCTGAGAATTTTCAGCACTTGATGCCGTAAGGCTCTTCTCTGGTCAGCACTCACCTTTCGCTTTTCGTAGAACTTGAGACGATGAACAAAGAATTCCTGCAGAATATCCTCCACGTTTGCATACTTCTTGATACGGCCAGCTGAATCAAATGCCACCAGATTTGTGGTGTTGATGACCTTGTAAAGCTTAAATTTCTCTTCCAGTCCCTCCTCCAGAGCGGCTTTCATGTGTTTATCCTCCATTTGCACAACGAAATGGACCCTGTTGTCTGTATTGTAGTCTGTGTAATCCTTTATAAATGAAGGGACCTTTTCTGCCCTGATGATTTCCTCTAGCTTGTCCTTGAAATCCTGGACCCACATTTTGACTGGCAGCTCGCTAATCTCAACCTCGTTGTCGCCTGTTTGTTTGATGATGCCGCTGAATTTATAACGACCGCCACCCAAGTTCGTGATTTCACCATTCCAACCCTTGTACCATGGTACCATAGGCTCAATCGGTTGTCCATCCATCATGCGCTTCAAGTTTGCGACAATGTCCTCCGGGTTAAAATTGGGAATCGAGGTGCTCCAGCCAGTACCAATCCCATCGGCACCGTTAACAAGGATCGTCGGAACGACTGGACAATAGATTTGAGGCTCAATAAGCTGATCGTCGTCGGTATTGTAGGTAAGCAGGGCATCATCCGCAGCTTTGAAAATCTGTCTCGCGAATGGAGAAAGACGAGTGTAAATGTATCGAGCACTTGCAGCATCGCTTCCGCCGTTCAGACGAGTACCAAAGTTTCCGCTTGGTTCCAAGCAGTTGACGTTGTTTGCACCAACATACGTCTGAGCCATCCCGACAATGGTTTGATGAAGAGATGACTCTCCATGTTGATATGCAGCAAGCCCCGAGACGTAACCAGCAAGTTCGACGACTTTCATGTCCTTTTTCAGATTGCGCTTGAAGCAAGACCAGAGAACTTTACGCTGACCTGGCTTTAGACCATCAATAACCGACGGGAGTGACCGGGCGCAATCGGCCACACTGAAGAGAATTAATTCCTTGTTGACGAAATCATCGTAGGTGATCTTTTCGACGGAGTGGTCAAGATACGTGCCAGGCTCGTGACGACGAAGCCATTCCTTTCTATCATCTGCCTTTTTCTTATTGAAGGCGAGGTCAATGTATTGTTCTTCCTCTTCTTTCAGCTTGTCAAATTGCTTCAGATGTCTATCAAGATCTCGGAAGTAGACTTGAGCATCCTGGGTGGTGCTCGTACCCAAACCTTTGTAATATTTGTGCTCCCAATTTCGCTCGTGTTTGTGAGCTTCCTTCCAGACCTCATATTCAGGCATGGTGAAAAAGGTTTGTGACTTTGTCGGCCGTTTCGGATCACCTTTCCAAACCTTGACAATCGGCGTAATGAATTCAATTAAAAAGCCTTCAAGTTTCAGGAGACTAGGAAACTGATGATGAAAGAAATTGATCAATAGTCCTTTGATGTGACTTCCGTCGAAATCCTGGTCGGTCATGATCATAAGATGGCCATACCGGAGTCCTTTCGTATCGCTGTATTCTTTCTTATGCTGAAGGCCAAGAAAGTTCTTGATGCTTTGAATTTCAGCATTCTTGGCGATTGAATCGATGGTGGCATCGCGGACATTGAGCAATTTTCCTCTCAGAGGGAAGACACCGAAAAGGTCTGGCCCCACAACAGCCCGGCCAGCTACGGCAAGACCCTTGGCCGAATCACCCTCGGTGAGAATGAGGGTACACCGATGTCCATCTTTAGTCCCAGCCAGGTTCGCGTCAATGAGTTTTGGATTGTTCATGCGGCTTCGGCGGCTGCCGTCGGTCTTCTTCATCAATTGATCGGCCTTTTGCTGGGCAAAATGAAGGATACGGTTGACAACGTCCGTCTTAGCAACCTTCTTGAGGAATTCTTCAGTGATAACGCACTTGCTTCCGAATTGGGAGCTTTTCGTGGTGAGTTGTTCTTTCGTTTGTGAAGTGAAAGCCGGGTTTACAATGAGAGAGTTGACGAATAGAAACATGTGGTTGCGAATCTGATGACTTTTCAGATTAGCTCCATTTTTATTCTTCTTCTTGACCGTTTCCAGTAGGCGGTTGGCAATCTGATCGCAAATGTAGTTGACGTGCGTCCCGCCAGAGGTTGTTGCGATCGAGTTGACGAATGAAACCTGCTGAAACGAACCATCAGAGACGGTAAACCCGATTTCCCAGTGAGGATCAGGAGATTCAGTAATGATCTTGACCGCCTCTCCGTCTTCGCCGTTCTCTTTTTGGATGGCTTTGGTGTACATCTTCATGTACTGCTCGAAATTCCTAATCTTGATCCTCTCGCCGTTCAGATGAACTTTGACGCCCCGAGATGTACCCGCCAGATCGTAGACTCTCCTCATTACAAGAGCTTCAAAATCGTCATCAATCCCGTCCATGCCGAATTTGGCAAAATCTGGTTTGAATGTGACCTTGGTGTAGTCATCACCCTTGCAGCTGGTGATCTTGGCTTTCTCCATGTTGGTCATGTTGTTGGTCCACGTCTGCTTGTACTTCTTTCCCATTTGAGAATCTGCGGTTTCAAGATTGAATTCTGTGCTAAAAATGTTGCAAAGTTTCGCGCCAAAGCCGTTTCGACCACCGGTAACTTTTTGTTGATTGTCGTCGTAGTTGGATGACGTTAGAAGGTGACCGAATATCATTTCAGGAATATAGATTTTCTCTTTCTATTTCCCATAGGCAACGGTTAGTTCCTGCGATGAAAAACGTCGAACTGATATATCGTGCAATCGTACCTTGTGCATCTCGATAGGAATGCCTTTGCCATTATTCCAAACGCTGATCTCTCCTTTCTCCCGATCAATAGTCACCTTGATGGCGTCCATCTTTTGATCATTTTGCTTGTTGTCGGCGGCATTAACCACGATCTCATCAAAAATTTTATAGAGCCCCGGGACGAAGCTGACCGGTCGGCTCTCCATCGACTCAGTCGTAGAATTATAGACCCACATTTGTTTCTCGGTCCTTTCAATCGACCCTACATAGGTATCTGGGCGCCTGAGGATATGTTCCAGCTGACTGAGCTAGAGTAGAAGTGAGTCAGTCTGTAGTGAGGCAGATGTAGAAAAAATCAATCTCACCATCTGATAGCGGTCCGTGGCATCCGCTCTGTCCATATCCACGTCAGTAGCTCCATCAAGGCCGGTCCCTTCGTTTTCGATCTCTTTAAGAGGCTTCCCCGGCGCTTTTTTTGTTGGGGCTTTCTTTTGTTTCTTGGAACTTGGTGGCGTACTCGATAGGAGAGATTCGTCATGATCGCCGGCTCCACCATCTACCTCGGGTTCATCGTCCTCAGATACTGGCTTTGGTCGTTTCCGAGATGTTGTCTTGGATTGAAGAGTTGTCTGCTGCATCTTCCGAGGCGCAGGCTTGGCTGCTTTTTTGGGAGCAGCTTTGGCTTTGGGTTTCTAGTTTCCGATTAGTCGCGAGAGCTAAGTGAATATATTTTGAGATACAATCTGCAGAAGAATGTAGCGAGTCCTTACAGCTACTGGGGCAGGTGCAAAATCGTCGTCCGAGCTTGCAATCTGCTCGAATATCGAGGAATCATCCATGATGGACAGGAGGAAGATGAGGAGTGGATCGAGGCAGAAACGAATGGAGATGTTTTATAGACAAAGAAAACAAGACAGAATGCAAATCAGCAGGGCATGTCAAGGTTAATGAGAGTCGGTGGACACAGGCTGTGCCGTTGCTAGGCGTTGACTACTCCGGTAAATGCACAACAAAGCAGACAGGGACTCCGTGTCTGTTTCTCTACAGTCTTTGTTTTCTGTTTTGGTTGCGCGGCCGGTTAAGGTTTAAGCGATAAATTAGCGCGTCCCCAAGGCACCGTGCACGAGGTAAAAGGAGGGGAAACGGAAAGGTCTGTAGGGTAAACACCAAAGGTTTTCGGCGAACCATGAATTCTACAGACAAAGGGAGAGAGAAAAAAATTTAGTATATCTCAATATAGTTTAACCAAGGCAAAATGTCAATAGACCTCTCAATCAGCTTTATAAAAGAACTTTCAGTCGACAGGGAAAATCTGAGAAATCTTTCCGAGTAAAGTTACCAATTATTGACAACAGCCAGTAACGCCGAACTCGCTATGAGAGCTGCTTGGAGGTATATAACGCATGCCGAGGCGTACCTACGGTATAGCCTGAAGACACGGAGTCGTCGAAATCCCAATTAACTTAAGCAGTTGCCCTTGGTGGGAAACTCCGAGTTCCTGTCGAGTGCCGAAGTGCTTGACCGTCGAGTAGGGTCAACTCAGCTTTCCATAAGCAGATAATTCAGGTTGCCTATATCATGCCATTTAGCAAAATATGGTATTTTCAACCGTCAGCGGCCTAATGCTCTCTACAGGAAATAATGATAGAGATGTCATTGGCCTGAAGGCTGCTATCTCGATTCCAATTCTGCTTATCTCCGGGATCTGCTCCCGTAGAGGGAGCTAAAAGACCAATGAATACCACTGTATCTCTCTAGCGGATCTACTGGGCCAAGCTCCCCTTTACGGTCGTTTCTCATCTCTTGACATCTTTTGTTCCGTATGCACCGTTTGACACTCTTCCACCACTAGCTGAGCCTTTTCATCTAGTGGGCCGAGGTATGTGCCTCTCATTGCAGAGTGTTATCTATTACGAAAAGCTGTATGGTGTAATTATGCATGAATCAAGGTGAAATCCCAACAAGAATCAGCTACTAGATCTCTACTTCCCGCTAGGCCATATCCATTTACACATACTGACTGATTGATAGTTCTACAGGATCTCTTGTATACTGTCGATCTCAATCTGTCTCATGAGACTATCATCGTTCTGATAGGGCAAACACTAACCTCCTTCCTCATGGAGGTTTTGGATGTTATAGTATGCCTAGATCATATTTTGTCACCCGGCATTGTCTCCGGCTTCAATGATAGCAACAGCTTCTAATTTAATTCCGAGGAGATGCAATGTGCATTGAACTTGAATTCATCAATGATAGTAATGTTTGCAAAGAGATTCCCGAGGAGATGTGAGGTGCGTCTGGAATGAATTCTTGCCCATAAAAGGGAGCATGGAAAGGGCAGTAAGTTGTCTACATGCCCACGAAAGACGTTGAACAGTTGGCCAGTATTAATAATGAAGGCAGGGACACTTCTTTCAGTTCTTGGCACGATAACTTGCGTATATGGCGCGGCTTGTCCTTTTGAGCTCATGAGACGGGCAGGTCTTCTGAGCGCAGAAGATGCGGCCAAGTTTGACGCTGTTAGGCGCGACCCGAGGGCAGCGAATGTGCTTTTTGAAGCCCATCGCCGCGAGGTTGATCCAGATTCCAGTCCCGCTGCGGAGCCCGAGCTCGTTGGTATTCGCAAGCGCGATGGATTGCTTGATTTGCCTCTTGGCGGAGGCCTTTGTGAGGCACTCCATTGCGTTTTTGTCTCGCTTTAACTTCTTGCTGACTGTGACAGTGAATGGTGTGCTACAGCCTCTCACTGGTGCTCTTTCGGGCGTTGATGTTCCCACCCCCCAGCCACAAGGCTTGGTCTTGATTCCAGGCAACGACCCCAATCATCAATTCCAGGCTCCTGGCCCTACGGATGTCCGTGGCCTTTGCCCTACCTTGAATACTCTGGCCAACCACGGTTATATCTCTCGTGATGGAGTACGTTTCCCTAAATTCATTCTTGCAGCGTTTTGCTTACTCTATACCTTAGATCACATCCTTTGCCGAAGCCGCAGATGCTGTGCAGACTGGCTACGGCTTTGCCTACGACTTATCCGTCTTTCTCTCTGGCCTTGGTCTAATTGCTGGTGGCGATCTGGCGACGGGAAAGTACACTATTGGCGGCGCCGATTCTCGCGTTCCCAATACACTTGGTCTTGCTCTGGGACTCGACAAGCATGAGACTTTTGAGGTTGATGGCAGCATTACACGTGAAGATACCTATTTTGGGAATAATGCAAATTTCCTGCTGCAGCGCTGGGAGGAGTACGTGAATGTGAGCGAGGTCTATGGCAATTTCAATATGGAAATGAACGCCATTGATAATGTAAGAGCTCGTCTTTAAATCGCTCAGTACTTGCGAGTCTAGTCATTATTAACACTTGTGGCCTACAAGGAAATCGCTACGACTACTCGCGCGAGACTACCCCAGAGTTCTTTGCTGGAGCGCTCTGGCTTGCCGTTTCGCATGCCGAGCGAGTCTTTGTCTTTGAAGGTCTCTCTAATGGCTCGACGCAATCTAATGGCAACTTTGCCAACGTTGCGCCCTTTTTTCTAAATGAAACATTCCCGCCCTTCTGGTTCCGCCGCCCTGAGCCCTTTAGTCTCGCAAGTGCTGTTGCTGAAGCAGTTGAAATGTTCCTTTTGAATCCACGCGAGCTTGGTGGCAATGAAGGTGTTGGTAACTTTGTTCCACTCAGCGGACAAAACAATATCAGTGCCTTGAGCGCACCTGAGCTGGGCTGCTTCTTAATAGAGAACATATTAGAACTTGTCCCTGGCCAGTTGGAGCCTGAAGGCACTGCGTTAGGAGATGTGGTGTTGGGCTTTACTAAGGGTGTCATTGCGCCATTCTTTGTCAATGACGGCTACTTCAACTGCGATTTGAGCAGTTTTGCAGCGCCTGGCCAGAATGCTGGTGTAGTTTCTGGAAACAAGGATGACACTCCGAGTGTGAGCAGTTCCGGGTCTCCAGTGAACGGTGCGTATCCCGGAATTGGTGTTATTGCACCAGATTCAGAGCCTTCTTAGACCTACCGTGCTTTTGAGCAGTGGAAAGTGGATATCAAATGGATTGGCATTGTCAATCGGAAGGATGGATCTGTTACGCTTAGAGTTGAATATATCGTGTCGTTATTAATGCTCGCCCTAGGAGAGTTTTAGATGGAAATATATTGAGTTCAAAGCGTTATTCCAATGAACCTTGCCAATCATCTTTCTTGCTTGAAAGGTATTGATGTTAAAGGAGGGGTAACCGGTGCGCCACGCATCTAGGTTGATCATCAGAAATTTTTACCTATCTGAGCCTTTTTGAAAACAAGAAATCAGATATTACAATGAGTATACCTTGTGTTCAGTCGACTACCCATTGTAAAGTATGCATTCGTGAAGAGGTAGGATATATGGTAGTTGTGCGAATGTTTGATAACCTACCTAGGTACCTGAGGTAACTAGAATAGCATACGGTAATCTGTACTCCCAAGACGCGTGAGAAGAAAGTGAGGATTAGCGCGACAAGTATCTTCCAATGAGGTGTACCAGTGTGCGCGACTCTCTCGTGCCTGGCCCCTGAACATGGGTTGACCCGTGGATGAACCGACTGGAAAGGGAAAAAGCGCGCGCCTTGTTTAGCTGCCCGTGGCAACCGAATGGTTCAAGCCCCTCGTGCCGATCCTTTCGTTCCTTCCTCGCCCGGCGCGCCAGGCACTTTAGCTCCATAGCACCTTCCGACATCGTCCCCTGAAACACAAAAGCCAAAAAAGCCCCATGAAGCACGGTAATACGGAGTAATTAGTGGAGCAGTAGAGGCAACGCTGGGATCTGGTTTTCACAATCACGTCCCATTGTGCTTCGGTCCCTAACAGCGTCACTGATCCTGGCCAGACTTATCATGTGCTGTTACGGTAACTGATTGACTTTACCGATATGGTCGTTATCCTATCCATGCTACATCTCGGAGAAGTATCTTTACACCCCGCGATCTACCTACCTTCATGACTTCAAATTTGCACCCGCGCGGCAATGCAACCTTTTCTCATTAACATATAATCAAAGCCAAGAAAAAAGAAAATAAACGGCCGGCAGGAACGGCCAAACTTTGAGTCACATTTTGTTCTTGGGACAAGGTGCTTGAGATTTGTTAGGACGTCCTTCTAGCTGTCGATTTGAAATGGCAACGCCAACGACATCTGAAGGGGATCAGGCACAGATCTCGGCCTCATTGGGTGGCCAGGATCCAAAAGAGCCTCCGCAGAGACCATTGTACCAATCGAAGCATGTACCATCCGATTCAATGGTTACCGTTCGCCTTTCGGATTCGACCATTTCCTCCAGAATTGAAGCATTCCCGAGATTAAGCCGGCCCGTACCTAATATTATCACCGAAGATGAAGTCACAGGCATCCCAAACCGTGCTGCAAATCGATGGAGTATGGAAACAACAACCCCATCCACAGTTGGTGACACCCAAACAGCGTCAGCCTATCAAGCCGCCGCCGCCGCCGCCCTCGAAGGTCATACGGCCGAGTCGTCAGATATATGTAGCAAATCGAGGACCAATAGTGTGAGCTCAGCTTCCTCAGAGGAGAGTGACCGAGTAGACTGGGCAGAATTGGACAAGACGGAGGAGCAGGAACCTCGAGATGAGTGTTCAGATGAGGTGTGCAACGCTTTCCTTTGTATAATGATGATTTTGTCCAGTCAGCTCACAGATATAGTCAACTGCATTCCTTCTTGCAAGGCTTGAGCGTGAGAACAATGCACTAGCCACAGATCCCAAGTCGAATCTTCGCACCGGCCGCGTCAGAAGCAAATCCCGGCCGCCTTCGATTCACCAAATCAAGCAACTCGTACGAGAACCGGTCGCCCCTCTTCTTAGATACTCGCAATTGCCAGCCCCACCGCCGATGACAGAATTGGAGTTTTGGGCGGCACTTGTCCAAGATTATCCCCGGACCGCTCAGCGTCTTCCGACGTTGACCTCGAACAAAGTGCGCGCAGGCATTCCCCCTCCATTACGAGGGGTGGTCTGGCAAAGTATGGCAGGTGCCAGAGATAAATTGCTGGAGGAACAGTACGATCGGCTAGCTGGAGAGCAGAGTCCGTACGAAAATCTGATTGGCAAAGACATTGGGCGAAGCTTTCCTGGGGTGGAAATGTTTCGGGACCCAGAGGGAGAAGGCCAAAAGATGATGGGCAGAGTGCTCAAGTGCTTTAGCTTGTACGATCATAAGATTGGATATTGCCAGGGGCTTGGCTTTTTAGTGGGCCCGTTGCTGATGCAAATGGGTGAAAAAGAAGCATTTTGCATGCTTGTGAGGTATGGTTCTTGTCATGTTGTTAGCTGTTTCTCCTCGGCTGATAAATTGCTTAGATTGATGGAACATTATGACCTCCGATCCTGTTTTCTTCCTGATCTATCAGGCCTTCACGTCCGCATCTATCAGTTCCAAAATCTCCTGAATCAACACTTGCCAAATCTTGCCGCTCACCTCGACAACCTCCAAATCGAACCCGCGTATATTCCACAATGGTTCCTCTCATTTTTTGCAGCAACGTGCCCATTGCCGATGCTCCTCCGCATTTATGACGTTCTCTTGGCGGAGGGTGCAGCGGAGACATTAATTCTGGTTGCATTGTCGCTCATGCGTCGAAATGAAACCAGGATAATGGCATATACAGAATTCGAAGATGTGATGCAATTTTTGCTTTCTCGAGCCATGTGGGACACATACAGCTTTAATACCGATGATTTCGTCAACGATTTTGTGGGATTTACGGGCGTTGTCAGTCGTGAAAATTTGCAATCGTTGGAATCGAGTTTCTTGGATGCCCAAAGCGAGGGGTCTGCAACACGGATAGGTTCTTTGCCAGATCTTCAAGCGGCAGCATCTAGATTTCTTGGTAGATTATGGGCAGGCTCCAATTCATCCACTAAATCAGCATCCTTGACTCCTGGGTTGGCCGCGCCCTCCCGACCTATCAGCTTCCTTCGGCGGTCGCCTTCAAAGCAGAGCATTGCGTCGACATTGAATTCCTGTGAAGGCGGTTCGGACAGCGTCACCAGTTCCGCGCAAACTGATGCGACATCAGTCTCAAGGCAATCTTCGACAGACTACTCATCAACAAGAGCCAAGGAGGCTCCCTCTATGGCAATCTCCACCCGTAGCGCTGTCTCAATCAAAGATAGAGATCTTCATGGTCAAATCGAGGACCTATTGACTGCCATGAGCGCATCACAAAGAGAACATGGGATGGTACTGGTGCAACTGCAGAAGGAGAAGGAAGACCGTGAGGAGAAGAGACGAACGATTTTATCATTCATCGATTTAGTCCGCCGATTCCTCGGCCAGTCAGGGCATTTGGCACCTTCAGCGGCCGAGCCAACCGCCGCAATTCCCGAAAACGTGAGCGTGTTTATCGAACTATCAAAGACGGTTGAGTTTATGGAGCAGACTTTTGCCTCTGAAGATGATAATCGAAGGTCATCCATTTTGCAAACAAAGCATCAACTTCGCGATGAATCGGCACGATATAAACAAATGTTAGACCACGAAATGATTCATTCCCAGGAGCTGTCACGACGCATTGACGAACAAGAACAAGAGATGAAGGGGCTGCGAGAAGAGTTGAGGCTGGCACGAGCCCGTCTGCAGGACGGTTACAATGAAAATCAAAGGCTTCAACAGACTATTCAAAACTTGCGGTCGCGGTCTCCGGCTTGCAGATCGCCTGACGACGCCAGCAGTCCTGTCGAAGGGCCAGCGACGCAGTCAGGGGATGGTCTTTCAAGACGTGGATCTGTTCACGGCGGTCTAAGAGAGCTAAAGCTGGGAAGGACCGCTTCAAAACGATCTCAGACAACGCCAATTTTTGCGAAGCGCACCAGTAGTCTGAGCACACAAGGGGTTCTGTCGACCGAAAACCACAAGCCTGTTGCCGAGGACACTCTGCTCGTCGAGCTAGTTAATGCCAAGACCTCAGAAGCCCTGGCGAAGCAAGAATTAGAAGAGGTCAAGGGTAAATTGGAGTCAATGCGGAAATTGGTAAACCAAAACCACAATAATTCGGGCAGTGGCAGCCAAAATTCTCCCCGGCATGAAGGCCACGATGAGTGGCCTCGTGTATCGACGACGACGACGACGCCGCCAGTAAAGACGCCTGATCAGCAAAAAACAACCCCCCCTGCCAGCTCTAGTGGCGGCTTTTGGAGCGGATGGGGAAAACGGAGCGTATCAAGTACAGTTCCTCAGGATGGACGATGAATTTCAGTTCTCAAATATACTAGAGTGTATTCTATTCTCGGCGTGTTTTTCATAGCGTGGCTTTTGTATTCTCCGTTTGCCTTTTCCTCTCCTGACTTATTTTGCGCGAAGGATATTTTAGTAGATCCTATGACTTTGACGAATCGTCTTTTTTTCTTGACAGCGAGCTGATCTATCGTAAAGCTTATATAAGAGCCGGCCACAATAGTTTTATTCTCTTTATCTGCCAGCTTACCTGGCTTACTAGTTAGCCAAATACAATGGTATAACACCTCGTTGAAGTTATGCCAGTCCACTTCTATTATGGTTGAAAGGAAGACATCGTGCATCATGCTGCATTCCCTTGGAGCGACAAGCAAAGACTCGAGACCAAGAGCCAGCCATCGGAGATTTAGAGGATGCATGTCTTCATGAAATAGAATTTCAATGGCCGAATAATGTGCGCGAAACCTCCCCAATGCACGCGAGAAGCACCGTAGCACAGATTCGTGTACAGTAGCAAATCGAAGAGAAAACGAGATTGAATAAATGGATTTTCTCTTCGTATAAAATTTCCTGTCTCCTGTTTCGTTTCATTACTCAGCATCTGGGTCGTACAGATCCAAGCCACCAAACACGGTAGGCTGCTGCGGCTTTTTGGCCATGGCCGCCTCCGCCGCGGCGCCCGTATAACTTTCTCTCCGCGCTGCCTCTTGAGCGGCCTGCAATTCTTTCCGCCTGCGATCCTCCTTTTCTTCCTGGTCTTTCTTCTCCTTTTCCCGCTTCGATTCCTCTTCTTCCTTGATCCGCGCCTCCGTTGCAGGGTCAGCAACCGAGGCAGGGTCGTTGCCTTGTTCAAGCATGACTTGAATTTGTGCCAATGCGCCGCGGCGAATGACCTCTTCACCTGGCCATGGGGCAAATGGTACTTGGGCTGACGGATTCAGCCATTGCGTTTCGCTCTTCTCAAGGGACGAAACGCCAATTCCAAGATTCTGCGCTTTGGCTTGCCCTTCCTCTCCAGAGGGCTGGTTCGCTGCGGCAGGTGTTCCAGCTGCCGGAGCAGCAATTCCGTTTGCTAACGCTGGGGCATTCGCTTCCGTAGCATCTACTTGTTTCTGATCCTCTGGGTTTGCTACCTCAGTTGGCTGTCCTAGAGGCGCGCCTCCAAAGCCCAGCCAGCCTGTAGGCGGAACGGTGAATTTACTGATGCGTTTGGCGTAGGCCAGCAGCTCGGCATAAGAAACGTCGCGCGACAAAGGCGTGGCTTTTGTTGCGGGGGTACTGAGTAGCTCTTTCCTCGTGTCTGCGAGCAGCATCAGACTGTTTTTGATCAGCGTATCGAGAGCTGCGGAAGTATTGCGGAGGGAGAGAATGCGCGCGTGGTTTGCTTGATGGGTGGATACTGATGTTTGGACATGACAGTTAGCTTTGATTTAGAATTTGAATCAAATCATAGGAGCTTGAAATACGATACGAGGGGAATTGAAGTAAAAGCGAGCCAAGAAGTGGGAAGCAGCACGCACATGTTTCGAGATCTTTACTGAGTTCATCATCGGCGGAGAGGAGATCGAAGGCTGCAGAAGGAGAGGGATTGTATGATGTTATTGAGTCGATAAGCGCATTCAGTGTTAGCTCGACGCGTTGGAAGTCTTCTTCTAATATGGTGTCCATGACTGCTGAGAACGAGAGCTGGGGGCTTTCTGTTTCACGAAACTGTTTAGGCATTCATTGAGGTCGTAAAGTCCGTTGTAGGATAACTTCCAAATTAGGAAAGCGCTTTGCTGCGATGTGCTGTCGCAGAGTGTCCTGAGCAGATTTGTGCGACAAGGAATAGCCATATCGGGCATTTTGATTACCTCCGCATTTCGATATGCCCCGAGACAGAGAATGGATGTTTGATTCTCAACCAAATCCACGTGGAGATAGCACAAAAATTCAAATTTACTCTGGCAATCCATCTACAAAACATTGACCATTTTGACTAATGTTTTCAAGGCGGAGTGCTCCGTGGAAAATCTCTTGAATCTGATCATCACTTGTTCCGGACCAGCTTTCCCACGCTACAAAAGGCAATGTTATTTTTCATCAGATTTTACTGATTCAGGTATAAAGATCTCGTTATGGATATCGGTTGATTTTTTCTTGGCCCACAATTTGAATGACTGAGTATCATGACGGGCCTGCTAGTACAAGAGAACAATCAGTCTCGGAATAAGGCTGGAACCAGGCACCTTATCGCTAATTTATAGTTTAGCTCCATCTTCCGTCGAATGGCGTGTTTGTGGGAAGCCCTCTGTCATGCAAGGCCAGTTTCGAGAAGAATTAATATCTCTAGAGCACTCAACACGCGTGATTGTGGGGTTATTTTCAGTGCTTCGACCGCAGATGCAAGAGTAACAGCATTTGAATACCTAGACGGTTTGGGCTTCAGTTGGAGACCCTAATAAGCTAGACAATCATCCGGATCACATGTCGTTTTACATGCTTTTCATGCCGGAAATCAGTTCCATCTAATCAAAGTTAGAATGGACGGCATTCGTAAGCAAAGTAAAGAGGGCGTCAGCTGGGCATAATGCAATTGACGATTTACACGACGACATTGATAAAATTTTCTTCCTCGTCAGTTTTGGGCTGGAAAAGAACATGGGAAAAAATCAGCCACAGGTGCTTTCGAAGTAGCGTTAAATCTGTCTTGGTGGGCTGCTTTGACTGGTGGTGGCTGTAAGGTTCCATGGGCATTACCAGATGGCCGATCAGATTGCAATTGTTGTTCTTTTTGAGAAGGCTACTGGAGTATGGTTGAGCGCCACCCCACCTCTAGTATCAGAGAGTTGCGCGGCTGTACCGGAAACGAACGACAGGGGACGGCAGTGCCTGGCAGGAGGGACAGACAGACACACAAAACTCTTCCAGCGCTTAAGGGACGGGGCTTGCTCGGCAGGTTATCACCATAGTGTTCTTCATCTTGCATTATTGTTTAGCCAGTCGCGTCCAATAATCATGTAGCCAAACCCGATGGCTAATCACACTGGCGGCATCCAATTCTCCCCATATCACGGTCGCTTTCAGCGAGACCTAGAGCAGACCCTTTCATTATGACAATCGCAACTTAAAAGCCAATTTAAAAAAATATATATCTGCAATGGACGCTGGATTGTGTTAGAAAATACTTTTCTCAGGCTCAGCTGAAACACAAGCCATTCGATCAACAAAGAGATTTGTTATTTACTGCCAGTTTCTATATATACAGGCACGCCCGGTGATCCAGTTACACGCGGCCAGAACCACCACCTGGGATCCGAGGTCGATCCCCTGAACTCGGAAGCTCCACTTCAATACAGAACCGAGGAGGAGGGTTTGGGGCGAGGGGATTTGTGGGTTAAAGGTGTGTGTGTCGCTGTGTGTGTGTCCCCGGCCAGCATTTGCGCGTAAAGGAGTCGTTGCCCCGTCGTCGTTTAGAGAGAATTGCGTGTGCCGGGGGGAGGAGGGGGTGACTAAGCAGAGTCTCGCTCCTTCCCGAGGAAACCGTTTGTTCATGAGAGAGAAGAGGTGCGAAGTGCTCGGGGGTGGACGGTGGGATTTTTACTCGAGACACGTAAGATGCTACGGTATCAGTATCAGCGGAGAGAAGCAATGATCTCGGCATCTCCGTACACATTGCAACTTCCTATCTCAGACAGATGGTGCTGCGCCTCGCTGAGAGGTTGAACTACCCCGCGCTAATCCAGTTCTGGACCCATCGATGAGCGTGGTTTGGTCTCTCTCAAGGGGCGCACGGCCCGTCCGAACTTCACCAGCTGGTACTCTAGAGTACAGACGTAGGTGCCGTGCCAATCCTACCCGCGGCGGTTTTGGTCTAGAAACCGATGCAACTGAACAACGTACCCCGAAAGAGCTTCCCTTTAAACTTTGCTAACCCTCCCGATCTTCCGAAAGCCTCTTCCCAATCCTCTCTTCCGTCATCAGCTTCATTCCTCTTTAACCACGTCGTCGAGTCTCTTGACCTTTACAATTTTCTTCTCCCGGTCCAGACTCTCGCGTTTCAACCATGGGCAAGTCGTAAGTCAATCCGAATGTCAAATCCGCTTCACCTTTGCTTGAGCCAAATTTCGGCGCGTCTGCAAGATTTCCCATCACCCATTCCTGCGTCCGAGGTCATCGGATTTCTCTGGCATGCACTGCTACATCCTCATCAAATTATTTGCGTCTTCAGCACCTGAGTCGTCGGCCTGGGTCCCATCCGAGTCTGATAGGCAGGGAATGGTGACGTAGTCAACCAAAACCTGCTCCAGCAAATTTATACCCAGGCATATCTGGCTAACTTTTTTTTTCGCACCTGCTCTATAGGCAATCAAAGCTTTCCCAGAGTGAGCTCAATGAGCTCCAGCGAGCGACGCATTTCGATAAGAAAGAGCTGCAGCAATGGTACAAAGGTTGGTAAACAAAGCTTGCCGTTACCGCCCTCCGCGTTCGCTCGATAAGTTACAATCGCTAACTGGGACCAATCCGCTGCAAACAGGATTTTTAAAGGACTGCCCCTCGGGCAATCTCTCAAAGGAGGATTTTCAAAAGATTTATCGCCAATTTTTTCCCTTTGGCGATCCGTCGTCGTTTGCCGATTACGTCTTCAATGTCTTTGATGCGGATAAGAGCGGCTACATAGATTTTGAAGAGTTTATCCGCGCGCTCTCGGTCACATCGCGTGGTCAGATGGCGGACAAGCTCGACTGGGCATTCAAATTGTATGACATTGATGGCGATGGCGAGATTAGCTATCATGAAATGCTTGCCATTGTTGAAGCAATTTACAAGATGGTGCGTAATAGCAATCCCGCTTCTGATGGCGCAGATTCGCAGTCTCTTCTGGTTTCTAGCCAATTGCATGCGCTGCATGCTCCGTATTTCCATTGATCCTGTACTGATTGGCGCTGCAGGTCGGATCCATGGTAAAGCTACCCGAGGACGAAGACACTCCGGAGAAGCGTGTCAAGAAGATTTTCCGCATGATGGACAAGGATGAGAACGGTAGTTTGAGCAAAGAAGAGTTCAAGGAAGGCAGCCAACGCGACGAGACAATCGTGTCCGCCCTTTCGCTATACGACGGACTGGTGTGATGGCGCATCCTCGAAAATGTCTCCTCTCTCCATCTCTTCGACGTTTTACGACTTCATTTCGATGTTCTTGTCGTCTTCTTTTTCTTCTTCGCCAAAACTTTGACTCTGGGCATTTCTGGGTTTGTTCCTCCTATGATATCTTTGCGGCTACGCGGGCATGATGAGCGGGTTCTGTGTTTCTTTTTCTATTTTCTTCTTTCTTCTTCCTCTTCTTCTTCTTCTTCTATTCTAATGAGCATTATTCGTTGCCATTGAAATTCTCGTCTGGGTGGCTTCTGATGTCGTGGATGGCGCAAAAAAGGGGGCTTTGCTGGATACGGTCTGCTTCAAATTTACCTCTTTTAATTTTCTACTCCTTTTATTACCAAATTTTTTTACATTTCCGATTGATATGGGCCTGTACATACCGCGCAAGCACTTCCCATGCTTGCACTTTTCTCACACTTTTACAATTACTAGATGAAATCACACATTCTACGCTGAATACAGGCCATTCCTGTGATCCTGTTTGCCGATACAGCTCATAAATGCCTCTTTCTCGTCATGCAACTGTCTGTCAAATTCTCAGGAAATCGCTCGAGAATGGTGAATGACTTTATACCTCGTCTTTTTCTTCTACGTTTTCTCTCACGGGTGGGGAAACATGGAAAGAAACTCTTTACAAATCTGTGCTTTCGTTCCTTACTCGAAACCATGCAATTTTTCTATTGGAGAAATCAAATGACACGATAAGACTGACTGAAACAATGACATTAAAGTCCCATTATTTTGACCGAGAATATGAGAGGGAAAAAGGCAGTAACTAATTCCATGAATACGATGAACGATGACGCCCGCTCCAGTATCCTTGTTTTGCTCCAGAGGTGTGCAATCAAATTAACGGTGGGAATATTTGAGATGAGCAGAGATCGAACGAACGCCATGTAGCGCCATCGCTTTTTTCATTCGTTTTGATTTTGATAAGTAGATTGCACGTTTTGCGTTCGTACATGCATTTCGATATTATGAGAACAATGGAAATGCGGCAGAAAGGGCTCCCATTGAAAGAGCCCTGTCGTTGTCCCTCGGTTCGGTCCAGTTCTCCTTGCATACGTGCTGACGAGTCCTATGCTTCGCGAGGCCGGGTTGGCGTAAAATGCGACCGTTTTAGTCCACTTTGATGGAAGAATAAATCTTATGAACGAACATCCAGCTTGAGAAAAAGCCAATTGTTCCTGTTACGCAATAAAATCAACATGTTAGTTTATCCATAAAACATTTCATTAGAGGATTAGAGTGGTTTTTGAGATGAAATGGACGCGTACCTGTTAGGATAAAGAACAAGAAACTCACGAGGGCGCTATAACCAATGTACAGCATGCCCGAGGTAAAGTTTCCGAGCTTGAGATTGCTCACCCAATAGAGCATGGCGTTGGCAAAGACGTAGAATGCGCACGCGCCAGCAGTGAAGAACGCTCGCCAATGCCAGTGGTAGTTCTCGGAGCACAGCAAGAAATAAACCATAAGCACGGTGACCGCGCCGCACGTCATAACCATCAAGCCATAGCAGAGGAACAAGAAGCCAAACATGTAGTAAAACTTGTCGAACCAAATGCTGTTCATGATAAAGTAGAGCTCCACAAAGATGGCACCGAATGGGAGAATGCCAACCAGTAGCATTGAAGGGATGGGCCGGATGTAGCCGGCGGACGGAGGGATCTGGCGCGGGATCTGGTTTGTCCGTACCGGAGGTTGGATTGCCTGGGAATCGCATAAGTGAATATTGCTGTCCAATGAGGCAAATAGAGTCGTGGACAATGCCATGCTAAGGGAGCATTTGACTGAGGCTCTGTGGGAATACAAAGGAAGGGGGAGGTTGTAAACTTACAGGTTGCTTAAAGCCGATCCAGCTGCCAGCAAAGCTGAGTGGGACGCTAATAACGAACCAGATGCCCACAATGACAAGCATGGTAGTGAAAGGAACAGCGCCGCTCGAGTGTTTACCCCAAAGGAAGAGGTTCAGCAGGAAAAACATGCCAAACACAACGAATGGAATCAAGAACGGAGTCAAGGCGATATTCTTCTTCCAGGACTCGCCGCCAAACGACTTGTAAGTTCGCGCTGAGACGTAGCCTCCGATGAAGCCGAAAAGGGTGTAGAGAAGAATCATCACGGTTCCGAGGGAACCACGGTTAGATGGTGAAAGGAATCCGAGAAGGGCAAAAGCTGTAGGTCATTGTCAGACAAATGCATAACGGAGTTCGTCGCACTGCTATCTTACCAATGGTAATTCCAGTCATAGCCAGAAGCTGGGCTCCGTTCCCCAGGAAGACACTCAGCAGTAGAATATGCTTTGGAGGGCGGAAGACATCGCCATGCACCAGCTTCCAGCCCGAGTCTTCCTGCACGCCATCCTCGACACCAACCTCAGTTCCGGAGAGATCATCCAAGTTGACCGTATCCAGTCGGTTATACCGTGCAATGTCCTTGCGCAGGGCGCGAAGCAAGATCATGCCGACGAGTCCCACGAGGAAGGTGACAATGACGGCAGAGTTTATCAAAGAGAACCAATGGATGCGAGGGTCAAAAACATGTAGATATTTGTCCCACCGAGTGGCCCACGCAGTGGGCGACTCTCTCCAAAAGACGCTGTAGGTCCAAGCCACAGCAGTCTCTCCCGATTCAGATAGTTCTAGGGACTCGGCTGCATTTCCACAGTCCGCCTTTCCATTACCCAAAATCTTGGAATCTTTTCGGGAGGATGGTTGAACGAGGACCCCCACCACTCTGTACTTGTTAGGGCCTGCAATATGGTAATCAACCAGAATATCATAGTGATTGTGTAGTCGAGGCTTTTCCTTCTCGAGAGAGCCCAGAGAGAACCCTGTGGTATAAAACTCAGTATTCGTGTGCGGATCACGATTCAATTGCCCAGCAGGCAAGCCATCAATGAGCCAGTTCATATTATAATTTTGCTGGATGCGTCTGTTCACGAATTTCGCGTCGCGCTGATCGAATTTCACCACCTCGCACAAGGCTTTGCAGGTCTCATTTTCAGCCATTTTCAGCTCAAACGGCGACGACATTATTCTGTCACCGAATAAAATGCTCCCAAGCGACTCGGCCAGGGGCTTTGCTCCGCCCTCGGGGCGGCAAAAATGAAACGGCTCATGATAGTAGTCGAAAGCAATGAGCGAATGAAGCTGGGAATCAAAGGTCGACAGAGCGGGCGTCAAGTGATTAACATCGAGCGGTACCTTGTCCCCAGCGGAGTATGATGTTGGTGCGACACCAGGGAGATAGAAGGCTGAGGAAGGAGAAGGAGCTATCGCAAGCAGGATAGGGAGTAACGCCGCAGAAGGCGATAATTCTTTTAAGCGCATTGTGTTGAGTGAATCTTCTGTCCTCGAGCAGCGAATTGGTTGTCGAAGGAATTAATCAATGAAGATGGGCAAAGAAGCTCTGAAATGAGGCTTTCGTGGCCTCTACAGAAAATAATCCGGAAGAACCCTTGAAACCTCCCAACTGCTCCCTCAATGCCGGGAGCTCGGGAGTATCAAAATATCAGAGCTGGTCACGCAAACGCAATACAGTAGCAATAATGGACAAAAGAAGCTCTTGGAAACTTTCCGCCAAAGCAATGATGTGGTGCTCAGTTATTCTATAGCGGTTGGAATGTAAAAGGAAGCTCCGTCTCAAGGGCTGGAAATGAAACCGAAGTAACGGAGTGTCAGTGACGATTCCACCTACCGAAACGGAACAGCTGGCCGCTCGGACATAAGCTTAGTCATCATACTATCGCCGGAGACAAACGCCGACCGCCGACAGGCCGACCGCCAAAATTCTCCAAAAAAAAGTCGGCACGACAACTCTCTATTAACTTATCTTGGGTTTTATTCCCAAGTCTGTCCAGAGAAGGCTCGAATTTTCCAAGTATTCCTTTCGCCATGGCGGTAGAGACATCTCTTCCTGCTCTCTTGAGCTCTCTTCAAACATCTCTCACCTCGGCTCTTTCTTCTGCACCAGATTCCTCTCCTATTCTCCCTCCAAAGGACGGTATCTCGCTCCTCGACACCAAGAATGAATTACTTCTATCCTATCTACAGAATCTGGTATTTCTTATCATCTTGAAGATTCGCGATATTCCATCGCAGACGAATGGAGCGACGAATGGCGCAGATGACCAAGCCTCGTTCCGCGACAATGCAGTTAAAAAGTTGGTCGAGTTGAGAGTATTCCTCGAACGTGGCGTGCGGCCTTTGGAAGGCCGACTCAAATATCAGATCGACAAGGTTCTCCGAGCTGCTGATGACGCTACGAGAACTGCTGCGCAAAATACTCGTGATATTGCCCCTGCCAAGGCCAGCATCAACGGCGCAGCTGGCGAGGGATCCGGAGACGAAAACTCTGATGCCGAGGCCGACAACGACGCGGAAGGCGGTCGTTCCGGGAATGCTGGGAGCGACATTGACGAGCTTTCTTATCGTCCAAATCCCCTGTCCTTTGTACGAAGCCAGGCCGCTGCCGCGACTCGGCCCTCTGCGGCCTCCGCCGATGGGATCTATCGTCCACCTCGCATTACGCCAACGGCTCTTCCCACTACAATTGGTAAAGAAGAGCGGGCACAGCGCAAGCCAGGTCGATCGGCGACACTCGACGAATTTGTTAATACTGAGCTTTCGACCGCGCCCATGGCTGAACCCAGTATTGGCAGCACAATCATTGAAGGAGGACGACGTACAAAGTCTCAAAAGGAGAGACAGGATGATGCCGAACGTCTGGCTTACGAAGAAGCAAACTACGTGAGATTGCCCAAGATAAGCAAGAAAGAACGTGCGAAGAAAGGCAGGGACAACCGCCAGGGCGGATTTGGTGGAGAAGAATGGCGTTCACTGGGTGACGGCCTCGATCGCATCGATCGATTGACTCGAAAGAGTAAAGGTACATCAGGCGCGCTTGAGAGAAGCAGGAAACGTGGATTGGATGACGGCCCTTCAGGCGGCTCGGCCAATTTTGGAGAGAGATTCGACAAACGGCGGAAGACTCACGAGCGCAAACGCAGAGTCTAGACATTGCGATCTGAAATCGAAGAGGAATAGCGTGTCATTCATAAGCATCTTCGTTCAATTCTCCCTCAGGCTATATTTCCCAATTATTTGATCTGGGATTTTGCAAGAAAGTCGCCCTATGTTGGACCTACCAAAAAGCTGGCCATGTAATCAATCAGGTAGTTGAATTATCAAAATCAGTTACTGTGGCTCTCCGAGTTCACAGTATAGTCCTATGGACACTATATATCCTCTTTAGTGAAATATGTATGTAATGAAGAAAGTTGCTCAGGGGTTTTAAGTCGTTGATCTATGCTATTTTTGAGATCTATCCACAAACGCCGTCCGATGGTATGATATATCCACAACGCCTCGAAGATGCATAAAGAGACCATGACAAGAAATAACCTAAAAACAAAGCCGAGAATCTTACATTGGCGGAGTACCAGCAGGTCTGGCTCCACTCAGATGAATAACCATTCCTGGACCAGGTGGTCTGCTCACGCCATTCCTAACACTAGACACCTCGTCCCTTTTCCAACCGGGAACTGCATCACTTGACCTGCTCTTGATGACCTCCCAGACATTTGGAAAGCCTGCGTTCAGCGAGCCTTTTTCTTTTGCTCCCCTAATTGCAAACCGAAGTTGCCGATGCGAGATGAATCCTCCAAGAAACCCTTGGTAAATGAGCGAAGATACCATGCTTTCAATATCCAACATTGTTGGCTCCGGCGGCCCAGCCGGCTCAGCCACTCCTTTTACATCTGGGTCAACGTATAGCTCTGGCTTGATACCATTCTGTTGAGAATTTTGAAACATAAAAATAGAATTCGTATGTGTCTTTCCGATAGGCTTCTTTTGCGTTTGCCCAAATGATCTCCTCTCCAATACTTGAGTTAAACGAAGTAAGTCATGCAAGTCAAAAGTTGGTGCTTTGCGTGCTCCTGGGTCACCCTGGGAGCCAGCCAATAGAAAGGTCTTACGCGCCATGGAACGCCACACGAGGACTTCGCAGCGGTCACGTAAGGGGAGTAAAAGACGCCGCCGAAGGAAATAATCTGTGTGCGGGCCCTCCGGCCCAAAGAAACTTCGAAAGGTCGCCAGGTCACCTCGAGATATGGCTCGGCATATAGGCAAAAATTTCTCTGCAAGGCCGGCTGCTTCAGGACGACGGAGTAGTGCTTGAGATGGGAATCGTCCAAGAGTCATGCACGCCGTTATCAGAAAAGGGAGGATTCGACTGCGCTGTTGGACGCATTTTGAATGACATCCGTCGTACGCTGATTGAAGAGCTAGCTGCGCGCGGTAAAAATGATTGTTGACAAAGTAGTAGCGACCCAAGTAGTATAGATATGTTACTCGTTGCGAGGCCGGATACAGCGAAAGAGGCGGCGACCCGTTCTGGATGTTGACGAAGATTTGCTCTGCGCTGCGGATCTTGTCGCACTGAGGAACAAAGAAACGTTAGTGCCCGGCGTTTTAGTTGAGAAGATTTCGTTTCAGATACCTCAAAATATAGCTTCAGGCAGAGATTTGCAATCACGTAGATGCTGATCTTCTTGCCCATTGGCCGCCCATCGCTGCCAACTCCTGCGCCTGTCACTGACCGGTCATTCAGACACCCACTGAATGCGTCTCTCAAAACATCCGCAGCAGTGTCCACAAGAGTCGATCTGGAGCCACTTTCATCGGCCGCTTGTCTTCGTATCAAGTGTGCAATCAATTGAGGCTTTTTATGAAGAGCAATCGTGAGCTTGGTGAGGGCGCGCGAAAAGGCGATCACTGTGGGTAGAAGCACGACGCCCATAGATCCGTGACCGAGGGCATTGACGGACTGTCTGAAAAATGTCGGAAAGTCAGGTTCTGATTCGATATGAGAGGTAAAATGCTGATCTGCGTAGATTTGACATACTTGACGAGGTTTCGCAGGAGCTGAAAGGTCTCCACCAGATTCTCCACATTTACATCCCGGAGAAAACAAAAGTATTGCCGCATGAATTTGATGAAGGCAGTCCAGGAGCTGCCATCTTCCATCTCCACATACTCAGGCAATGCCCTTGTGCACTTGTCTTCTAATGCGTCATCTTGCCCGCTTGGAAATGCGTTCCGGAGCTCGTTCACCATCAGATTATAGAGCGGAGGCAATGGAGGTTCGATGACGAGAATATCTTGAAGCTGGGGGCCATTTCGTTCCCGCAGAACCCTAGAGACCTCCAACAGAAACTTCTCGACAGTCGGTGTCGCCATGGAGCTTTTCACAGCTCATCTGACAGCATTGCAGAAGAGTCGTCGCATATGGGTAGCAGGGTGCAGCTTCCACACTTCGTCATGACTCGCTATGATTTTCCGACGACAAGCCACAATAGTAATAACACAGCCACAACTGCCCAAGGGGGCGCAAATCTTGGCAAACACACTAACCGAGCGGAGAATAGAATACCGAGGTCCAGCTGTGAAGCGACAGCGGGGCGGAGCGCCTGCCGAAGTCGAATCCCCCAATTCACGTCGGTTTGGCTGAAGCCTATTTCGAATCATTTGGCAGAGAACCACGCCTAGACGGCGAATTGAGAGGTAGTATTTAATTTGAACCCTCCTATGCAATCCTGACTGTCATGTTGCTGAGTTTGGTATTGTAAATTTCTCTTTTGGCATGGCGGAGTGCCTGCAGCATGGTTGATTCATAACGTCACTTTCAGGACCCTGGACGAGGGCATTTCGTCATTGCTGCGGGAAACAGTGGTAGCATGTGCAAGCCCTAGCTCAACTCCCCATTCCGACACTACAAAAGCCCTTCGAGCTAACATAGGTTGAAGAGCTCCGTACTCTCTACACCTCTGCACAATTCTGCAATTTGTTGCCTGTCATGGCTCAATTGCACCAAATTATCCAGTATTTGTACAATCATCCCATCTTATGGGTGTACCAATTAATCCAATGGGTTTTGGACAAGCTTCTTGCACCTGCACCACCACCCCCGCATGCAAAGCTTAGCAGGCCGAAGATTGCCATTATTGGTGCTGGCTTGACCGGTGTCTCATCAGCTTCACACTGCGTCGGTCATGGCTTCGATGTCACCATATTCGAAGCGGGCGACCGCAGCAAGCTGGGAGGAATTTGGAGCGTCTGTAAGCCCTTGATCGTGTTATTCGAAAAATTCATCTGACCAATTCCTTCATCTAGCGCGTGAACAATACTTCAGGTCTCCAGATACACAGTCTCATGTACCGTTTTCACCCTTCGATTCGATGGAACAGTGGATATCCGGACCGTAAGCAGATTGTGTCCCAGATAACGGAGCTGTGGAAGCGCTATAATCTTGAGGAACGAACAAAATTCAACACACACGTCACCAATGTGAAAAAGGATCCGCTCGGTCGATGGATAATTAACAACCCGTCGAATGGCCGATTTGATGGTGTCATTGCCGCTGTGGGCACGACAGGTGACCCTAAAATGCCCCATATTCCTGGCCAAGAGAAGTTTAAAGGCGACATCTATCATTCCTCCGAACTCGATGGAAAGGATGCAAAGGGAAAGAAAGTCATCGTCCTCGGAGGCGGTGCGAGCGCCGTCGAAGCGCTCGAATTTGTGACAGCTGAGAAAGCAGAGAAGACGAAGATTCTCGCGAGGGTATGTATCTCGAAAATTCCTCTAGTGATTAGTGACCTGAAAGCTAAAACACTCTCAAAGTCTGAGAAATGGATCATTCCTCGTAACCCTTTAATAGACATGCTTCTTGCTCTCAACATATTTGGAGAAGAGACATGGCTTTCTTGGATCCCTGAGAACCTACTCCGCATCTTCTTTTACCGCGACCTCTCAGACCTATCACCGCCCAAAAAGGGTCTTTTTACGGATACTCCAATGGTAAACAGCGACGTCCTTGAACAAGTTCGCTCGGGCAAAGCTGAATGGCTACGCGGAGACATTCTTGGTTTTGAAGAAAACGGTATCAGATTCAATCTTCGTGCACAGGGCGTTCCCAAGGGCGGTCCAGGAAAAGAAATTTTTGTCGATGGAGATCTTTGTATTATGGCAACTGGGTATCAACGCCCCAGCCTCAGCTTTTTGCCCGACGAGGTCTTCAAGGAGCCCTATTCCCCACCGAACTGGTACCTACAAACGTTCCCGCCGGAGCACATGTCTATCTGTGCCAACAATTGCACCTATGTCAACGCCATTGGAACTGTTGGGAACTACCACATTGGCATTTATACACGGTTTCTACTCATGTTTCTCACCGACCCGTTAACCCGACCACAGGAGCGTCTGATGAAACTCTGGATTGATATGACGCGTTGGCTGAAGTCCAAGGCGCCGGGTGGGGCTTTTGACTTCTTCACCTACAGTGAGCTAATCTGGTGGTTTTGCTTTGTGATTGTGATCAATCCTTTCCGCTGGAAGTGGGCGTTCTTTGTTCTCTTTGGTATTGGAGGCTCTTTCGCCCACGATGTGGTTAGAAAGGAGGATGTTCTGCGAGAGAAGATAGGATACGATACCAATGGGTCATACTCTGATGATTAGTTACTCAGTCATTTCTTCTTCTTGAAGGAAAAGCATCTGGCCTCTGCTCTGTCAATTTGATACTGAGTTTAAACCTGCTTTCACCACCAAATATTCAAACTCGAGCAACGTTCTAATGTGATTTCGTTCTTGCATATTACTTGCTAGATGGTCGGATAATATATAGCATTCTAAAATGAACATTACATTCTATATAGTTTCTGAGTATTATTAGAAATTACCAATCCTCCTTACTGCGTCGTACAATAACATTGGCGGTCTATTCATCTAGAAGTTCCCGAATCGGCAAATCATAACCATGCGATAATGTCTGATATGGCGTTGCAATCCAGTAATGGGGCTCAAGAGGAATATAGCTGATCCTCGTTTGTGAGAACATGCTGCTCAAACCACGACACTGGCCATAAGGCCAACGCTCCGATCGTGCAGACCAGTGTCGAGAAGAACTGCCAAAGCAAAACAAAAAGGTATCCACCCGGCCAAATAAACCGGACGAATTCATTGACCTGGTAGAGATCATTCTGACTCCGAATCAGATATTTTTGCAGCGACTTGTTATATTCGAGTTGCAGCACCGTAACCAGGTTCACGGGCGAGCTGTGAAAGGGAATGATCCAGATGCGAAAGACTTGGAAGATTTGGACGTAAAGTTGAAGAGTATTTTCGTCAAATGCTGGAAATAAGGATTGTCAGCATCAATCAGTTCCTTTCCCTTCTTCTCCACCCCCAGGCCTTTTGTGTATGGGGTCTTCCAGTCACATGCAAACTTTCGTTCCAAGCGATGCCGGCTGCTTTACATCGAGAGTCGACGTTCTACCCTTATCCCGTAATTCCACATGCCGGTTTTCAATGCGGGTATTGCCCAGCCTCCAAGGCATGACTATGTCTACAATCAAGAAAAATATTCAACTCACCTACTGACTTGATTTCCAACTCGATTCGAGGGCTCATAATCTTATACCATCGATAAACCATCCATACATACCATCGCGAGTTATCGAAGCTGCCTGTGCGGCAGAAAGGGTGCGTAAAGGATGCATTCTTGGTGAAATATGTCTCGAGTGTGGTTCGTTGAATTGATGGCGGCGATTGCGTCAGGAGGTGAATCACGCCGGATATTTCCTTGACTATTTTCTCATGGATTAGTGTTAATCTGCAAATGTCTCCGCCGCTATATCGCCTTTTCACTTTTTTCACCTTTGCCCAACTCATCATTGTCAAAGGAGAACCTTGTAGATGGAGAAAGGCACAAATAAAGGAAACATACCCGGATCTTCCATATTCGACTTTCTCTAGCCCCCTTTAAGCCTGATCAATATGCTCCGAATCTCTCTCTCTCCTCTTTCCACGCCGAGTCCGGAATCAACCACGTACAATGATGTGGTAATATTATGCTTGCGGCTTGTTAACCTTTTAGGACAGAGGAATGACTATGTCAAAGCAATGCTCCAAGCAAATGCACAACGCAGGACAGATATTTTCGAGAAAAAGCTTGGACGTGGCGGTGTTCTCATGCGCTGTACGTTTCGTACGGACCGTACCCTCGAAACCAGCACCGAACGCCTTCAATTAAACCAATACCGGAGTTGAAAGGTCTCAAGTATAAAGCAGAGGTCAATTGTCACGTTTCCAAATCTTATATCTTTCGAATATTAATATATCACAGCACTGTATATTCGATAAGAAGCTCCAAAAAGAATTGAATCTCAAGATGGGAAGAAGCAACTGAGACAGCTCGCGCGGCAAGACCCTGGTGATAACCGTAAACTACAACTGCGTCATAGCGACGGAGTTTCGGAGGGTCCGAACCACAAGAGTTAGAATGTGCCCAACGCCTGGACCTTGCCAGTTACGAGGAAAAGATGGAAAGTTCGCCAAAGAGATTGGTTCAGATTTAATTTAAGAGCCGTATTTTTAACAATTGGCCTAATGGCCCAATGGCAAGGCGCTTGACTACGAATCAAGAGATTCCAGGTTCGACCCCTGGTTAGGTCATTTTTTTCTTGATTTTTTATCGTCCCCGACCCTGGACTGCTAGATGAATTTATAATTGCTTTGTGTTTTTCTCTAGGGGCGGATTAATAGTTTTTATACTCTATATGAACAGTCGGTCCGTTTAGTCTAAAGTGTGATCCACTTCTGTATCACCAGAAGTGCTTTTTTTTATTTTGTTTTTTTTTATTCTTTTCATTTCTACTTTTTTCGCATAAAACCTTCCATTCTTACTGTATCAATCCAGTATTACACCCCGAGGTTACAAATCGGACGTACATTTTATCCTACGACTTACAAATAGATTTTTGTAATGATCAGAGCAGGGTGGTGAGCAAGAAATTTTCATGAAAGGGTTTCGAGGAAGCGAATATATCACATCGAGAATTGAATACGCTACTTGCACTGGAGAAACCGTTTGCGTCTCACAGCGAATGGAAATTTTGGCATGACGGTGAGAAATGATTTACATTTGCACAAAAATATCTATTAAGTAGTATATCCAAGAAAAGAAGATAGTACGAAAGAAAAAGGGGAATATCAGGAGTCCTCCCATCCATCTATCAATCATATTATCGTATGCGGCGCCAAAACCACCCTGATGATCGGGTATTTCTTCGTGGGGCACCTGCTCTAATTATGTCACACCTAGCTACCTACCTAGGTATGTATGATAAAACAATATGTACCCTGTATAACAATGTACATTCCTCGCATGATTGAAATTTTGGCAACGAGCGACGAGAGAAATCCTTCGCATAGCGGGGAAACCTCCGTAGGCCCGTTGGGGATACCGGGTGAAGCTTATACTATCATTACTCTTCCCGAACTGCGGTTTCGGGAATAGCTTCTTCAGTAACGCGAGTGTCTTCGCCTTCGCCAAGTCCCTTGCTGTGGACGAAATGGCTCAGGCGCTGACTGGGCAACCACTTGCTCTCGGGAGTGAACCACCAAGTAATAATGGCAAAAATGGTCACGCCAGCCATGATAATAGGAGCATCTACAAGATCAGGGGTTAGATTACGAAGCAAATGATTCCAAAAGGAGTGAGTGTCACGTACAATTGAGCGTCTCGCCGGTGACAGGCCAAATGTAAGGCGAGAAAAGAACCGCAACAACCCAGCCGTTCCAAAAGATGCCAATAAACTGGAACGGCTTGCTGAAGCGACCCAAGCTCCATCGTGCCTTGGGAAAGTTATTTGGCGTAAGGAAAACTCGCCCAAAGCAGATAAGTCCGTAGGCAGCAGCCGAAGGTACACCGGCAGCGGAGATTAACGACGTAAATGCTACCGCTGAAGGGAGAATGGTACAGGTTATCAACGCGGCAACGGCGTATACGACAATGACCGCATTACGGGGCTGACCCTCGGGCGATACCTGGGCAACCCAGCTGGAGAAGGGCAAAACTCCGTCGCGGGCTACTGCAAAAACAAGACGGGAACTTGCGACAATCGCAATAGCGGTGTTCTATAAGAGCGAGGAAGCGTATATTAGCTTGCAATATGCAGATGCATTAATCAAAGGGCAGACTTACAAGCCAAAGGGCAACGATGCACACAACGTTCATGAAAATGTGGCCTCCCTTTCCGAGCACAACAGCATAGAGAGGAACAAAGGGCTGAGGAGCGTCAAATGAGAAGAGAGTGTCCGCATCGGGCTGTGGTTCACCGCGGATTAGATGGCATGTCCTAAAGAAAAAGGAGCTGACGCGGGGCGTTACGACTTACAGCGCAAAAAAGAAAAAGGATAATGGTCAGAAGAGCACCAAAGCCACTGACAATGACACTCCAGAAGATACCTCGTGCGGCAGTGATAGACGCATTCTTTGTTTCCTCTGCCACATGGCCTGACGCATCAAAGCCAATGAGGATACCTGCGGTAGCAAGATAAGACAGACACCAATTCCACCCTGCAGGAGCACCAGTGCCATTGTAGGTGCTCATAAACGCATCGTGTGTTGAGCGAAAACCCCAGGTCTTAGCGGTGCCAATGGGAAGCCAGATAACATTGAGGATAAAGTCCAAGAACACAATTCCCGAAGAAAACCAGAATATGTATTTGAAGTGGCGCGCTTTATATCGTAATGTCAGTCCGGAACTCTAAATTAGTAGTGAATAGGTGGATAGATGACGTACGGCGGATGAGATTGACCAGCGCAGCCAATGCAAGAAAAACTTCTGTACAGATCCATTGAACTGCGCGGAACTTGACGTTGCTAGGATCCGTAGGGAAGTCTAGACCGAATACATTGATTTCCTTCAGAGTGAGTTAGCATAATTGAATTGTCCAACGGACATCTAAAGTGCCTTACAGATAGCATGTAATTGGTGGCAGCTTGCGTGTTGCCTGCAATAGAGTGTCAATTCGAGCTCTTGCCTGCTACATGATGCCGGCATAAGTTACTCACTGGCACAGAAGGTAGTCCAGGCAGTAGTGCTCCACCACGCAACGACAAATCCGAAAAACCGTCCATAGCGCGGACCGCCTGCTTCAGCGGCCCACAGGTAGATTGAACCTGCTGTGGGCGCAGCCGAGCAGACCTCTGCAATAACCGCCGCAGTTATAAATGTAAAGACCAAGGTGACGAGGTAGCTTGTCCAGTAAGCCAAATTACCTCCGCCCGCAATGCCGGTGCTGAACGTCACACGCACTCCGCCGACAAAATATAGCGCCGCAAATGTGGTCGAAAAGTTCTCGATAAACGTATATGTTCGATGTAAAACGGGCTTATAACCCATTGAGTTGAGAATTGCGACATCGCTGCTGGCAACAGACTCTGCCTTGGTACCCTCTCCAGCAGGAAGATTTTCGGCGGTGGGCTGAGCTTCGTTGCGCGGCGCATCCATTTCGGCCATCTTTTGCTCGCTAGATCTTTACGTGCCCAGCGGAACAATTTGCTTCGCCGTGCTCTGTGATTTTTAGAGAGAGATCAGCAGCGATTGAAACAGAACGAAGCTTTGCGCATGAGAGCCAGAAATTTTCGATGGTGCTAGATCGCGATAAGTTCCTTATGAATTAAACATCCGTGGCTTGCTCGACGAATCAACCCGTGGTTTGCGGTTGCATGTCTAGTGGAACCGACCCAACCGCGGGTGGCCCCACCATTTAGCCTGACGGACAGACAAAAAGGAAAAAGCTTCTCTTGCTCACTAAAATGACCGCCTGGCTCATCACGCCAGTTTTAACTACGCCGAGCTAAATCCGCGAAAACAAACGGCACTCATTGTTCGAACAGGCGCCTTCTTGAATGGGCTAGGTGTCTGAAGGCGGTACTGGCAGGCGAAACCATGTGCGACTTTGAATACCGAGATGGAATCTGCCCCTCGTGCTAGAAGATGCGCGCCGATGGGGTCCGGAAAAGTTCTAACTGAACTGAAGCTTGGCATGCCATAGTACCCGTATTGCCGGCAGCAGAAAGACCATGTCAATTTTCTTGCCCGCTGGTAGTGCTTCTTAATCGAAATTTGACCAGTGAGTTCTTGCATTAGATCCATCGACCTGCGGAGCTTTAGTATATAGCGTTCAGGCTTCAGGGCGATGGCAATCCGCTAAACAGATTGCGCAGACCAGGGCAGGTCGGATTCATTTCGCCAGTCTTTTCTAGTAAGAGGCGTAGTTCATCCAGCGGTCCTCGTGGTCGCGCGATTTTATCGCCCAATTGGATGTATGAAGTTTGTCGCGATAGATGTCCCATTGCGTATTCCCAGCAAGTCAGCTTTCGTCCGTATATTATAAACGTTTTCTTTCCACATAGTCGAAATGTCCTCACCAATCATCGGTACGCTATCATGTGCTTGTCGATGTCTGCAAACGATCAGAATGTAGTATAGGTTCAACTGCTGCCATTAATTCAACTTCACTTCCGTCACTCAGGCAAATGTGGGACTTCAGCTGCAACATGTTCCTATATTTGGCCAATTTATTCGCTGTCGATGATCCTCTGTTGCAATTTTGCTGATCCTCTGGGCCAATTTCATGTTCCTTTGTTATAGTGCGCCAGGAGGACAAAAGAGAGTATATGAATAGTTGAATGGAAGAAGCGTCTCAGTCTCTAATGCTAAAAAAAAGAGTGTAAAATTGCATATCAGATTGCTCAAGGTCGCATCTCTCAAATCCAAACATCAGCGTGGGAAGGAGTGCTGGGTAAGACACAGCATAGCCTGTACCATTATCAGCAGGTCAGAGAAATCAGACAGATCACTAAATCATCTATCCTCCATATCCACATTTGTAACGGCGTGCATGGCGGTTAGCCCGCCGGCATCCATCACAACCAGGCCCTTGGCATCGCAGGTGCGCCACGTCGCTTGAATGCGATCCACGACGCCAATCAAGCAACTCGGATCAAATCAATTATCAATCCGGAGAGTGCATATTCAAGAAGCAGTAATTCACTTTGTAAATCTATCGTATTTTGTACCGTGGGCCCACCTGAGAGGACCGCCCCTGCTGCAAGTTACTCTCTGAACCTTGGAAATAGATTAGACCAGAGCAGAACCAGAGACGGTAGAGGATTTAGAACAGGAAACAAAGAAAAAGCCATCGAAAGGAAGGGAGGCACAAAAGGATGACACTTTGAGCGTTAGTTACTAGCCAGTTGAGATGACTACTTACGAGCAGGCCGTCGTTTTGACCCAAGGAAAGAAGCAGCTTTGACAGGGTCATCTTGTCTGGAACAGGCAGTTAGTGAGGCATCGGTTCATGCAAACCAAAAGTTGTAGTGGCTCATTCTGCCCGAAGCTAAAGCTGGCTAAAAGTGAGTCTTCTCTTCTTCCCGGCGAAAGGGAAGCCCTGGGAGAGATTGGAAAAGTCTTAGTGGGGATTTTGATACTGTGGTTAGTGTCCATCACATCACACCCCATCGCATGGCCCCCTGCACCGGTCGCTCTTCTTCCCTGCCCTCGTTGATCTGCAACTCGCACGACACGGCGACACCTTTTCGGATCAACGCGTACCCAATTATTATTTCCCAGACCATGCGACTACGGCCGATTCTATGACCACCATGAATTTCCAGCCCGCCTTTGATCCCGCTATTTTCGCTCAGCAGCAGCAACAGCAGCAGCAACAGCAGCAGCAACAGCTGCCACAGCAGCCGCAGCCGCCTCTGGTTGACCCTTCCGTTGATTTTCAGCCAACGCTCGGCTTGCAACAAATGCCCCAGCAGCCTTTTTATCCTGCGCCCTATGGCCAGATGCCGAACCCCACTTCTATGTATGCCACGCCTCAGGGCATGCCCATGGGGTTTCCCATGGGACCAGGAAAGATCCCAGGCACCATGACGCCGGTCGCCGCCGCCCGTGGAGGAATGATGCCCGGGGCCGGGATGCAGCCACAGCACCAGCAGCAACTACTCCAACAACAGCAACAGCAACAGCAGCCGCAACTGCAACCGCAACAGCTCGGCATGCCAGGTGGAGGAGGTGAGTTGTGATGCCAAGCGTTTCTCTTCCTCCATTTCTTCTCCATAACCATAGGTTCCTTTTTCTGACAATGTCTCTTCCAACGTGCCTTGCTCGATGTGTACACTCTTGCTGACATTTCCCCTTCTCTGCTGTCCAAGCTCACCGAAACCCGTACGCCCACACCCCGTATCCGCAGCAGGGCCCTATACCGCCTCCATCACAACCGCAGCCTTCACATTCGGCCACTCCTCCTCGTCACGCATCCCCTCATACGCCCCAGCAACCGCAACCGCAGTCCCAACAACCCATGCCAGTATCAAACCCAATGCAAACTCCTCAAGGTCAGCAGTCCGCACATCAGCCTCCGCGGCCCGTCATTCAACCTCCACTGTCTCCGGCCTCGCAGAGCCGAGAAAAAGAACGTGTCACGGCACTGCTAGAGATAAATTCGGCCCTGTTGCAAGAAGTGGTAAATTTACAGGCCCAGGGCAAAGCAGGCTTGCCAACACCTCCGCAGCAAAAGCAAGGTGATGACAAGGACGGCGAGACAAAACCGAATCAGCCTCCAAAACGAGAATACATTGAGTAAGTTGATCATTGCTTCTTTTTGTACCCTGTTTCTACTTGCGGTTCCCTAATATCTCCGGTTTCATTTTTTTTCTATTGCAAACTAACAATTCTCTCATTAGTTGCATGCGTCGCCTACAAGCCAACCTGGCCTATCTTGCAGCCATTGCTGATCGCTCTCGCAAACCGTCCTCTGCTATTCCTGCCTGCCCCGCCATTATGGATGCACCACCGCATCTCCCTAGTTTGAGCGAGTCGTATGCGAAGTTGCAACGGCTCTTTCCCGATGCCAAGCCTGGTGTTAATCTCATGCAGGCCCCGAGAGTAGGCATAAACGTCCCTGGCAATCCCATGGCTGCTCAGCAGAAGATACCTATACAGCCGCAAGGACAACCGATGCCGCCAAACATGATGCAGCAGCAGCAGCAGCAGATGATGGCAATGACGAACATGCCCATGGCCGGAATGCCACACATGGGTTAATAAATAATATATGGATACAAAAACGGCACCTCTACATGCATCTCACTATTTTTTGGGACTCGGTCACACAAGGCGTATTGGAAGAATATTGGCGTTTCTATAAATCTGGCAGGCCATAAATTCATAAGGATGCATTTTCATTTTTTTTTCTTTCTGGATATATGATGCTCAATTGCATTCTTTTGCTTGCGCTTGTAGCGCAGCGTACACATTATTCGACATGATACCATTAACCATAAATTCCTTTTTTTTTCTCTCTTTTTAGAATAGTCAAGTATTGGAGGGGAAATTAAATCACATTTGTAAAACGTACGGGTATTCATTCTATCCGTAAATATGATGACAACTCTATCAAGCACTGGCTCCACTGGCTCATGCCGTGGCACCATTTGCTCTCTTGGCTTTAAACTCTTCTATCCACTGCTTTGCTTTGGTCTTGGGCAGGACAAAAATCTTCAACAAGTCATCGACAATCTCGACTTTTCCGCCCGCCAAGAGTTTAAGCAGCGGCACCTTTTGACCCAGCTTCAGCAGACCTCCCGCGCTCGTTTCGACAAAACACTCGAGCTTGTCAGCGGGGAAGTACTCGCTCTTTTCGTCCCACGGTAAAGGCAGAATATACGAGAGGTGGTCGCCCAATGTATCCGTCTCGGCGAACGCCTTGATGATATCCGACTGGAGGTCCATAGGGTACAAGAGCAGAACGGGAATCTGGAGAGTACTGGTGGGCGAAACTGGGTCCGGGGCGAGATGGACGCGGGCGTCCTCGGTTTCGGGCGCGTGGCCCGTCGTCCGCGTGGGAATGTTGCGCGCTTGCAGGGCGGCTTTGAGGGTGCGTTGTTCGAGGAGTTTGCGCTCTTCTCGCTCTTTGCGCTGTCGCGCTTGTTTGTCAAGTAATTCTTTGCGAGTCGTGATTTTGGCCAGGGCGGATTTTAGAGAAGTGTTGGCCGCGTCGATTTCGAGACCGCGCTGGCACGCGTCGAGCGCTTCGGGGATCTTGTCTAGCGCGAGACAGGCCAGACTGGAGCGGTACCATGCTTTGATGTTGCGCGGGTTGAGCACGAGCGCGGTTGCGCAGTCGAGGTTGCAGCGGCGGTAGTTTTCTACAGGGAAGTTGGTCAGTTGAAGACTCACAAGGTTAAGGAGGTGATGGGTGGGGGCGAAGGGGAAGTGAAGGGCATGAGACAAGGTGCGACATACTGAGTTCCAGATTGCCCAAAGCGCGATTCGCATACATGACCTCCAGTAGGGCCTTTTCTTCCTTTTCTCTCTGTTCCGGCTGCAAGCCTGATCCGTTCTTCCGATCGTCTTCCTCGAGATCGAGCTCTTCCTTGTCCTTGCCTTTCTTGCTCAGGGTGGCAACTCCCTTGGTATAAAACTCGTTGGCGTCCCGCCACTGCTTGGTCCTAACGCAATCGTTTCCTTGCTCGCGAAAGTTCTTTGCAATCTCAAGTCGCGTGCCTTCGTATTGCATTGCTCGGATGGCCTCGAGTTCGAGATTCTCGCCGCCCGCGCCATCTGTCTCGTCGAGCTGGCTCATGAAGAGCGGAGTGCGGTTCATGAACTCCAGAAGCTCCTCGGGCGAGCGGGCCGCGACGGACTCGAGCTGCGGCGGCAGAGACGGAGCTGTTTTCGCAGTTGGGTCATTGCTGCGAGCCTTGTTCTGGTAGTCTGCGGGTAAAGGAAAGGGGACGGCCTGCTCTAGAACAGATGTTGGAATGCCTGGCGCTTCAGGGGACGGCCTTGAAGGCCCTTGTGTCGGGGCTTGCTTGGCGCTGGTGGAATTTGCTGCTGCATCTGATGATGATGGTCCGTTGTTTTTGCTGTCTGGAAAGACTTTGTTCAGATCTACCGAACTGTCGAAATCGTCTGGTAATTCTTCTATGCGTGACATGACTGTTTATTACTGCAAAATAATATGAGAATAAAATCAAGGGCGCAGACAACGAAGAAGGAAAAGTATATATGACAGAAGATCGTAGTCAAAAGATTCAAGTGACAAATGCACAGACAGCCCATGTGAAATGGCGGGGCGCAAAGGAAATAATTTCAGGAACAGGGGCGGCACTTGCCGGGGCTTATCGATAAGGGCCATGTGGCTGATATGTGGAATCACCCGCCGGTATACGGTGCAATACGTAGGCGGAGAGTTCAAATGCGCAATGACTGCACTAGATTGTGAAGATTAAGGCATTGCAAGATTGATACCACATGATTTCATCTAGATGCTTCATATTTGATGATAGGATTGTCCGGCAACTCTACGCCTAGGAAAAGTAGACCCCAAACTCATGGGAGTATCTCTAATAAATGCAGGACGGCCGAACTGGCCAAAAAAAAAAACCAAGCAAATGGTTAACAAATGCAAGAGATATCCTTGCAAACCCCTGCCACGCCATGTTCAAATGACCAAAAGTTGAAAGATAAAAGACAATAACTAGAGAAGAGATGAAAGAAACTGATGCAATTTCAACTTGAACAGACCTTCTAACCAAGCTGAGCTGCATGCAAGAGCTGCTGTTTGAAGACGCAAAATGCAACCATCACCGTTCGATGACGCTCATATGACACGTCCCAATGCGCTCGGACTCGAAAGTCCTCCTCTAGTCCTTGCATGTAAAGCATAAGCCCACCCTTGGGGCCTTCTCCAATGGTGCCGAGAAAGTCAGGGCCCAGGTCTAGGTCTACCTGATCCTGCCTGCTGTTAAAGTGCATGAGCATCCGTTTATTGAAGGATCGCCATTCGGAGAAGTAAACACGCATGCTTTCGAGGTATGGTTTCCACGTTTCACTGTTGACTGTAACGGGAGGCGTCGGGCCTTTCGGTGGATCTGGCAAAGCAAGACGTGCTGGAGGGGCCGGTTTATTGATTGGCTCTGCTGCGGCGCGAGACTCGAATGGAAGAGTGTCTGAGAGATCGTTGAGGTTTTTGAGACCATGTTGACCAGGAGCCAGTGGCTCCACTTTGTTCAGATTGCTCAAATCCAGCTCTGGTTCTTCGGTCTTGGGCGCAGGCGGCGGCTCCTTAACAGGTTCCGTTGCGTTCCGGGTGTGAGGTTCCTGAGTGGGTTTCGTCTCGTTGGGGGTGGCGCCATCGCCTCTCCACTTAGACTTTGTTGGCTCTACTGAGGTGATGCTGGAACCAGTGGTGGCTGGGGTAGGTTTCGGACCAGATGGATCGACATCCATACCTCCGCCGTCAAGGCCGGTTCGTGTCTCAAAATCCCCGCCATTGCCATCTGGATCTTTCAAGGTATTTTCTTCCTCGGAGGCGTCATCCGTAACCGCACTCACACTCGCTGGCTTGGGTACCTTAGGACGTTTGACCGTGGTCTTGAGCTGATCTCGAGACCTCGAACTCTTAGGAGCGCGGGAGTTTGGTCGATTCGGAGAGACCGCTTGAGGCGCAGTTGGAAAAACAAAAGAAGGCTCCTTGAAAGTATTTTTCCATTCGTCTGCTGAGAATTTTCGGGGCGGTGACGTTTGGGCATCAGCCTTTGGCTGCGAGTTCGGAGGAACATTTTCGGAAACTGGCCGGGGGAAAGGTGGGCTTTGAGTTGGCATCGGCTTTTGTGATTGTTCTTGATCTGAACGACTCGACGGTCGTCCGCGAGCTGGAGATTTGCGTCCTGGCGGAGTGTTTATAAAGTATTCTCTCGGATTCCCCGTAAATATTCCATGCCAATCTTGAGGAGAAAAGGCAGTATTGATATTATTCGGATTCTCTTTGCTGGGCGAGACAGGAGAAGGAGAGGTCTTTTCGAACGTCTGGTCATTGACAGGGATGTTAAAGCTGCCGAAATGGAAAAGTCAGCCAAATGCATTTCCTTAGAACATTTGTGCAAAGGAAGGGCCGCAACCAATCGCCATGGTGAATCCACAGCTTTACACCACATATGGATGTTAATAGATGCATCAATGAAAAGCCTCCCCCCCCC